CCACTAAAAGGATGGCACAGAACATCTATCCCAAACAAGGGAAAGCAGACAGTGAGCAGCAGCCCCTACCCCAAGGTTTATGGAGACTCAAGTCAGCCAGATTCGGAAGCAAAGGATCCCCCTGGAATAGCTACAGAGAATGGAAGATGTGCCCAAAATCTCGTTTATCACCAGCAATGAAGAAGAGACAGAGCGAAGACTTGAGAGCAGCCATTTCCCCTGCATATACCAGACCTGTGACAGACCACTTGGACACGCGTTTTGGTGCTTGTGAGCGGATGTGAGAGAGATTCTGCACCATAAAGCCGTTTGCACTTTCTAAATATTATTTTTCCACCAGTGCCAGATGAATTTGGGGATGTGGAAGGCGGAGGGGAGGAAGCCCAGCGGTGGGGATGACTTACTGGCCACCAGGAGCTGCACCCTGTGCTCATGGTCCGTCCTGTTCAGCACTTCCCTGCAGGTGTAGTTGCCCTCGTCCTGCACGCGCAGCCCCGTGATGCTCAGGGAGCTGTTGTCCACCAGGGAAAAGCGGACGTCCGGGGGGAAGGAGACCCTCGAGGAGAAGAGAGGTGGGAAGGAGTGCGGATCCCCTTGGAACCAGACCACCTCGGTGGCTTCCTTGGACACGTTGCGGCATAGGAGGAGGATGCTTCCTCCCACCTGCCCAAAGACCACTTCATCTGTTCCTGCAAGAGAGAAGGGACGGCGTTAGGGATGGAGGGAATGGGCAAAGCCGCCTTCTGCCAGCAAAGACCTGGATATCTGATCTGTGTCAACCCTCTGAGGTGCTTGTCAGGGGACTGCCGAGGTGACTAAAAGCATCCAGCGCACACCAGCATCAGGAAAAGGGACACAGCTCCCTGCTGCCCTCCCCTCAGCCCGCGCTACCTGCGGCCTCCCGGCGCGGCACCAGCCTCCAGAAGCAAAGGGCGAGGACGAGCCGCGCCGGCGGCATCCCGCCGAGGAGCTGCATGGCTGCGCGCCGCTGCCGGAGCCCCGCGGAGGCGGTGCTGCCCGGCCGCCGCCCCGGCGAGAGGCCTGGGGAGGGAGGCAGGGCGGGCAGGACCCGCCCGCCAGGGCCCGTGAGGGGCCCGTGATGGGGTTTGTCCATCCATCGGGTGCCGCCGCCTCAGAGCCGCTGCTTCGGGCGATCGCCATCTTGAGACCCCCCGACTTGGGGCCGGCCGCCATCTTGGGGTCACCTCACTGCCCCTCGCGCACGCGGGGCGGCCCCGGCAGAGCGGGGCCGGCGCTGCCGCCCGGTGCCGCCCACGGCCGGGAGCGCTTGAACGGGGGAGAGCGCTGTGTGCGGAGCGCTGTGTGCGGAGCGGTGCTCCCTGAGTGGTAAGCGACCCTCGCATCCAGAGAGCTGCCCTAATCCACCCACTCAGAGACACCGCACAAGCCGCGGAGCGGGAGGAGCAGCGATAAACGGTTGTTCCTCTCTGTAACCTCGCAGCGAGGACGGTAACCACGCAACTATCCTCGGGTTTCTCCAGGACACCTTACACATGGCAGCTTGGAAGCACCAAGGCATGCGTGAAGTAGAGCGCTGAGACCCACAGGGTTGCCCCACTGGGCCCTGGTACATTAATTATTAATTAACCTAATTAGCGGTAGGGGCGACAGCGCTGGCCCAGGTAAGCAGAGCTCGGCCGGCCCCCCTCGGCTCCGCCTGGGGGCGCCATAGAGCTGGCTCGGGGGAGGCCGGCGGTGCGTCTCCACCAATGGGAGGCGAGCATAGCGGCGTCTCCACCAATGGGAGCGGAGCGGGGCGGTGCCTCCGCGTAGGTGCACGGGCCGCTCGGAGCCGCCGCAGCCACAAACGTCGCCATGCCTGTGGACCTGGCCAAGTGGGACGGGCCGCTGAGCCTCTCCGAGGTGGAGCAGAAGCCGGCGCACCCGCTGAGGGTCAAGTATGGCTCCTTGGAGATCGACGAGCTGGGCAAGGTGCTCACGCCCACTCAGGTGAGCGGATCCGGCCCTGCGCGCGGGGGTTGGCGCGGCAAAATGGCGGGATGCGGCCGGGCCTGTTGCGCTGTCGCTGCGGCAGCAGCCGCCGGAGCTTCCCCGCAGAGAGAGGGCTGAGCTGTGGGGGCGGCCGTGCCGCAGGAAAGAAGGCCCGTGGCTCTCACAGCCAGGGCGGGCTGGCACGAATGGCCTTGAAGCCCTCGGGTGTCGCTGGCAGCGCAGGCCGCGCTGGCCCTGTGTGCAGGGCAGGTGGCTGGCGCTGGCAGCGCGGCCGTGCTAACGCGGTCATCCCTGCAGGTCCAGCATCGCCCCACCAGCATCGAGTGGGACGGCTGCGATCCCCAGAAGCTTTACACCCTGGTTCTCACAGACCCTGATGCGCCCAGTCGGAAGGACCCAAAGTTCAGGTAGTGGGGATGGACAGCTCCGTGTCTTGCGTGGGGGAAAAGGAGCATCTCTTTTGGGCTGGGCAGAGGCTTAAGGAGGAGGTGGGACTTCGCTCTGCCTAAGGTGCAGCTGTGGGGCTGTGGCTTGCCATAGAAATCGTGTCCTTGCATCTCTCCTTGAGCCAGGGATAGCATGGGGAGGAGCAGCTGCTCGTATCGGGGATGCTCAAAGGTCTGTTGTACTTGGAGCAGCACAGCATTTACTGCTTGCTCTAATTTAGCACGTATGTGAGTTGGAATTAGGTCTTTGCTGGCAGCTGAATTTTAAATCTGGGACCAGCTCACCTTCTTCAAGTCAGCCTCAGCAGCGTGTGGAATCCCCACTCTCAGAGGTCAGGCTATGGGTTTCCTGCAGCCATGTGGAGCTTGTTTTGGCAGGCTGTGCATCCCAGCGAAGCAGTGCCTGCTCTGGGACTGGTGCTCTTCGGGTTTGGCAAACAAGGAGTGGCAGCTCTTTGTTTACCCCATGCCGACAGCCTCACAGAAAAGTAGCAGCTTGGAGTGAGAAAGGTTCTTCTTACCTGTGGCTCTGCCAGATTGTTCTGTGCCTTCTCTCAGGGAGTGGCATCACTTCCTGGTGACCAACATGAAAGGCAACAATGTGGGCAGCGGGACCGTGATGTCGGATTACGTTGGCTCCGGGCCTCCCAAGGGAACAGGTCGGTACCTGCAGCAGTTCCCAGGTGCTGCAGCGTGGATCACACCCGGCGCAGGAGGGCGGGGGGACCCGCGGGCACGATCCGAGCGGGGTCGCTGGGGGCTGCACGCAGCAGGGATCCAGCCTGCCTAGCGCATCTGCCCTAAGCGGCCGCGGGGCCGCCTGGGCGCGGGCGGTGACGCTGTCCCTCCGGCAGGGCTGCACCGCTACGTGTGGCTGGTGTACGAGCAGCCCCAGCAGCTGGCCTGCAGCGAGCCCGTGCTGTCCAACCGCTCCGGGGACAAGCGCGGCAAGTTCAAGGTGGCCGCCTTCCGCAGCAAGTACGGGCTGGGCGCGCCCGTGGCGGGCACCTGCTACCAGGCCGAGTGGGATGACTACGTGCCCAAGCTCTACGAGCAGCTCTCGGGGAAGTAGGGCCAGGGCCCGTGGGGCACTGCAGCACCCGTGGGTGGGGCCGGGCACAGCGCTGTAGTTCTGTTCTGTTAATGAGTTGAACCCAAGTGTCCCGCGCTGACCGCCTGCAATGTCACTGTCACTGTCCCTGCTCTGTCCCCGTGTTCAGGCCTGTGCTGATGCTCATGGTATCCTAGCTAGAGAGCTGCTGATGGGTGTCCTGGCTCCAAACTGACCTGCTTAAGGGAATTAAAAGCCTTTGTGAATTAGCGTCAATTCAGGGGGTCTCTGCTGTCTTGGGATGGCTTGAGGTGGCAGAGGTGTGGGTACACAACCACTTTGGGGCAGGTTCTGGCTGTGGAGACTCCCTTTTCCAGGAGAGGAGAGGGCAGTCAAAGGGAAACTTCTCCCGTTTTTTTTTCTTTCCCCCCTCCTACATGTGGCCAGTGCCTCCACATCACCACTACAGTAGTGAAGGTGCAGCTCGAGGGGGAGGCAGGAGCTGGCCTAGAGCACTTCCTTCTGTTCTCTGCTGCCACTCAAAGCTGAGACCACTTTGTTCTGTTCAGTGCTGTGGTGACCTGCCCTGTGCTCACAGTGCAATTAAAAACTTCCCAAGGTACTTGGTGTGCTTGGTTGTCTTCTTGGGGGGATGAGGGCAGTGCTCAGGGAGCAGTGGGTGGTGGTGTGTTCCTGGGATGAGGCTGTGCCAGGGCTCCCCATTCCTGGGACTCACTGATGCTGGAGGGACACAGCTCAAAGCCATCGTGTCTTTCTATCTCAAAAACATTCCCAGCCTTCAGTTCCTTCCCAGGGAATCTCACTTCCAGACCCGCGGGGGCTCCTTCCCTCCACAGGAGCCCCCACATCACCACAGCAGATGTGACACCCCAACAGTCAGTCTGGGCACCACCAGCTTCCCAGCCCAGCTGCAGTTCCCAGGTGCTTCCTGCTGCTCCAGCAGCTTTGCAGAGAGGCCTGGGGGTGTCTCTGAAGTGCCTAGAGCAGAAATGAGCCTTTGACAGAGCCTGGTGGCTATAAAAAGGTAAAAAAGGTGAAGCCAGTGCAATTCAGCTTCATGAAATCAGGAGCCTTCCCCCTTTTTTTCAAGCTGCTGTATCAAAGCTCTGCAGTGACGTGGTGTGACAAACAGGAATCTGCAGCACCCCTGAGAAAATGGGGGATTCCAGAACTCAGGTGGATGGTGCTGCCCCAGGGCAGTTTTATCAGCCCAGCAATTCAGACATTTCAAGAGGATCAGCGGTTTTCCAGGAAAACAGCCCCAGCTACTCCAGCCCAAGGCCCACCAGAGTTGGGCTGGAGCAGGGCTCACAAGGCTCATCCATCCTGGGGCTGCTCAGGCTGGGAGGAGGACATAAAAAAATAAAAAATCCATTATCCTAAAACCCTCCATGCCAGGAAAGCGAGCCCTGGGGATGGGACACCTGTGGAATGTGTCCCCTCCCCATCCCCACCTTGCACCTGTGCTGGGCCACGAGCCACCCTTCCCACAATGACACAGCCAGGCATTGTGATGAACACTTTTATTTACAAATATAATTAAAAGCTCTGACAGTTATTCATGCTCTTCCCTGGAACCTGAAAAATGTTTTTGTTGTTTTGTTGGTTTTTTTGTCCTTTTTTTTTTTGTTGGTTTTTTTTTTAAAGTGCATGCAAAAGAAGTAAAGCCTTTTTTTTTCCTCTTTTTATTGTAAGAAAATACACAGTTTGAAAGTGTGAATAATGCAATATTTATGACCAAGATCATGGGGTTGGGGGTGGACTTGGGGGAGGAACAAAAAAAAAAACCCCCAAAAAACAAATAAAAGAAAAACTGAAAAGGGCTGGGATGATCTAACAGACAGTGTTGAGCTCCAGAACAGAACTGGAGAGTGGGGGGTGGCTGGAGCAGGAAGGGAGGGGGGAAAGAAGTAAAAAAATTTTTGATCAGAGAAACAGTTAAAATACAATATGAAAATAAGTAAAAGCTCTCCTTAAATTCCTTCTATACACAAAATACACGATTTGACAAAGCCCAATTTGTGCTACTGGGATCCTGTGGGCTCATTTAAGTGTATTCACATTCTCTGCGACAGCAGAAAATGATTTATGATACAATCAAGAATATGCCCAGGGGCCAGGGCTCGTCCCTGCTGCCCCTGGCATGGTTCTCCTAAAAATCACCACGTCATTGCCCGCCCTCCCCACCCCCAAAAAAGTAATAATATGTCACCACTGATATGTACAGCACGATTAAGTTTTTTTTTTTTCTGTAAAATGTATCAAATTTTTTTTTCAATCTTTAATAAAATTTTTTTTATTATTTAATTATTCCTGATGAATAAATACCAAAAAAATAAAAATAAAATAAAATTATGCAGCAGCTAGTTAAGGTAAGGCTGCGGATTCAGTCTCTCTCCCCCTGGGATCGTAGATATCTTTTAATTATTAATATTTTTTTGCTTGTACTTTCATTGATTGGTGGTAAGATGAGTGATTGCTCAGAAGCAACATACATCCACTTGGTGGCTTTTTTTTTTTTTTATGTTGGTTTTTTTTTTTTTTTTCTCCATTAAAATTGTCTCCAAAGTTTTCACTGAAACATTTTTAATCATTGCACAGAGACATCAATACTGTGACATACTATGGAAAAGACTGCCAGGAGCTGTCCTGCACCGGGACGTGACGGGGGAAAGGGGCCCCTGATGGATAAGAATATACAGGCACTGGTCCGACACGATGTCAGTAAGAGAGACAGAAAGAGAGAGAGCACGCCCGTCAACATGGGAATGTTGGGTTTGCAAGTTTCATCCTTACTTTGTTTGCTTTCTGTGGTTTTTGTTGGTGTTGTTTTGTTTTTGTTTTTTTTTTAAATGGCAAAGAAATTTAACCTCATCTATAGTCCTCCTTGGGATACTCTAATGTGACCAAATTCCCAAAGCCCATCCTCAGGCTCTCCATGTCAAACGTCTCGATCTCTCGCTCCTGCCTTTCCAACAGGAACTTGATCCTCTCGCTGCGTTCCTTCTGCAGGGCGGCGAGCTCCTCCTCGATCTGCAAGGAGCACAGTCAGCACCCCCAGCACAGCTCCATGTCCCCAAAATCCCCTCTGGAATGGGCACAGTCAGCACCCCCAGCACAGCTCCATGTTCCCAAAATCCCCTCTGGAATGGGCACAGTCAGCACTCCCAGCACAGCTCCATGTCCCCAAAATCCCCTCTGGAATGGGCACAGTCAGCACTCCCAGCACAGCTCCATGTCCCCAGAATCCCCTCTGGAATGGGCACAGTCAGCAGCCCCAGCACAGCTCCATGTCCCCAAAATCCCCTCTGGAATGGGCACAGTCAGCACCCCCAGCACAGCTCCATGTCCCCAAAATCCCCTCTGGAATGGGCACAGTCAGCACCCCCAGCACAGCTCCAGCCTGGCCCATGTCCCCAAATCCCTCTGGAACGTACCTTCTGTTCCAGGTGTGCCCTGCGCAGCGACACCCGTTGCTCCAGCTTCTGGAGTTCCCTTTCATGCTGTGCTTCTGTCTGCATCTTTATTTTGCTCTGGTAGGCGTTGAGCAGCTCCATCTCCTGCTGGAGTTGCAGTCTCAGGGCTTGGCATTCTGCTTCCTGGGCCTCGTCCAGCCGGAGCTGTGAGAGCATGGGGAAAACAAGGCTCAAAGCCTGGCTGGGAATTCCTCTGCTCCCACACAAGTTACACACCACTCTTTCTTCCCAAAGCCACTGGTGTTGGTGGCAGAGGGAGAAGGCAGGAAAGGCTTCATGAGCAGCAGCTGCTCTGCTCACACTGAGGCAGAGCCCCAGAAGATCCAATCCTAAACCCCAGCATGCCAGGGGAGCACGGAAAGGACATGTGTTCCACAGGACACTTAATCCAAGAGGGAAAGTGCCACCTGATGTGTTGAACAGTTTTTACAGTTCAGTGGCTGGAGAAGTACCCCCAGGGTGCTGCCAGCCCCCAGAGCCCCCTGCACGTACCGCCTGCGAGGCCATCATCTCGTTGATGCTCTGCTCATACTGCTCGGCCAGGATGGCGAGCTTCCGTGTCTGCTCGTCCTTCAGGCTCTTCAGAATTGTCTTGTGCTCACTCTTTGGAGTTACTTCCAGCTGGTGATTCTTCAGTGCTTTGTACTGCTTAGTTTGTACTTTGCATGTGTCCTGGAACTGCTTTTTGATCTGCATTTCCATAGCCTGCCAGGGAAAGAACGATGTGAAGAGCACGAAGGGCTCTGGGAATGGAGAGGTTGTGGTATGTCCACATGGGTGGGGTGGTGGGAACCACAGCTCCCCTGTGCGTGCTTCCCACAGGGACTAACCTGCAGCAGCAGCTCAGGCCCTGCAGCAGCCTGGCCAGGAACAGCACCCCCTCAGCCCAGGGCACTTCCCACTTCCTGCAGATCACCCAGCCCATCACCTGCCTCCCAAAACACATCTGCTTTTTCACAGCATCATTCCCTTCCATGTCCTTCACACCTCAACCTTGCACTATGTGGATACTGCAGACCTGAGAACTAGCAAGGGTGTGACAGAGTGACAGCAATGTGTATCTCTCTGGTGACCAGTGACCCCAAGGAACAGCGGGAGCTGTGTAAGGGAGGTTGAGGCTGGGTATCAGGGAAAGGCTCTTCCCCAGAGGGTGCCGGGCACTGCCCAGCTTCCCCAGGGAAAGGGCACAGCCCCAAGGCTGCCAGAGCTCCAGGACCACTTGGAAAATGCTCTCAGGGATGCACAGGGTGGGACTGCTGGGGTGTCTGTGCAGGGCTGGGATCTGGACTCCATGATCCCTGTGGGGCCCTTCCCACTCAGGATATTCTGTGATTCTGTGACACTGGGAGGAGGAACATGCCTCTACCACAGAGAACAGCTCAGAGGTCTGTAAGCACACTGGGGTGTGCACAGGGCTCAGCACTCACTCAGAGTGCTCTGTGTTCTCTCTGGACTCTGGTGGAAAGCACCACCAACCCCCTCCTCGTATTTCTGAGCTGACACCAGCGAGGGCCTGAACAACACACAGCTTGTCAGAAACAAGTTCTGTAACGCTTTGCTTAGGACTGGACTATTTTACAACAGCCTCAATTAGCAGAGCACTTAAAAAACCCTCTGTGAGCTGTGACCTATCCCAGCCCACAACTTCCCTTATCCAGAGCTGCTCTGTGCAAAGGGAGGGGATGCAAGGGAGAGCACAGGGTGTGGAGAGCTGTGGTCTCACAGCAGGGGTGCTGCACAGAGGACAGAGGCTGCAGGAGGAGAAGGAAAGCTTGCAGCACCTTCAGGTTCTTTGGTTGCTGCCGGAGCTCCATGAAATGCTTCCTGTGCAGCTCCCGCTCGCGCCGCTTGTTGTACTCCAGCTGGTTCTCGAGCTCAGTCTGGTGCTGCAGCCGGATGAGGTCCATGCGCAGCTTCTGCAGCGTGTGCAGCTGCCGGTACTCCAGCTCCCGCGTGGACTCGTCGTGCCGGATCAGCATGGCGTGCTCCATCTCCTTCTGCGTCCGCTTCTTGTTCAGCTCCTGCACACACACACACAAACACACACACCCTGAGCGGGCAGCAGGGACCTGGCGTGTCACAGCAAAACACAGACCCAGCAGCGCCATGGGGAGGGGATGCTGGGAGTGACCACTGAGTGTCCGTCCATCCATGGATCCATCCATCATCCATGCCTCCATCCATCCATTCCCTGCTCTGGGATGGCCCCGGGAGTGCCCAGCAGGTGGCACCAGGACCCCACACAAGCCCTCGGTGCCTGCAGAAACTCGCAGCAGCTTTCAGTGAACACATCCCAGGGTGCTCAGGGCTGGGGTGGTGGAACCGGGGCTCTTGTCTGGTTTAAATTCCCCTGTGCCCCTGGTGGGTACTGGCAATGATCTCCCCCCTGCACCACCTGCACTAGAGTGGCCAAAGCAGAGGTCAATGGCTCTACCAGCACCTCAGGTGAGAAGGTGAATTGTCCAGGTGGGATTTGGCCCAAGGTGCAGCTCATTTTTAAAACCAGGCTGGAGCCCAAGGCTCAGAGGGTTTTGCAGTGCTCACCAAGAGCTCCTGCACGGGGTGTCCACAGTCCAGGATAACCTTCCCCTAGCCACAAGCCCAGGAAGGGGAAGGCACCAGTTCCCTCCCTGATTACTGCACATATTTGTGTCTCAAGGTGTCAGCCACACCCTGAGCAGCACGGAGCTGACTCCCGCTGTATCCCTTCACAGATGGTGCTGGTGCATCCCTGATCCCGGCTCAGGTTACAGCCTCAGCCAGGCACAGCAGGGCTGCCCCACCCCACACCGTGCCCAGGGCTGCCTCAGCCGAACGGGTTTCTGCAGGAGAAGCAAAAAACTGTAATTATTCTGAGCTGCTGCACACATGTGGTAATCCTGTTGTAACTCTCAACAGGAGCACCTGCAAACTTCAGCCCCTGTGGCTGATACAGCTGGGACAGGTTTGAGCTGAGAGGGTGGGGAAGGAAACAGGGCCAGGGTTTCCCTCTGCCCTCTTGGCCCCAAGGGTGTAGCATGTGTTTACATTTGAGCAAAACTCGCCCCCGACAGCCAAGATGAAAATTTACATGTACTGGTGGTGTGCCAGAATGACTTCCCAAAGGCAGGTGGGGCACTGACCAGGCAGGAGCTGTGGCACATGTGCCTTCACCCCGGGATATCTCAGCCAGCCTCTCCCAAGCCTATTCCACATCTGATTTCAGTTCACACAGCATAAAAACACACACAGTCATTCCACCTCCCTCAAACACTTTCCCATTTGCACAAAAACAACATCTGTGGTTAGTTAAAATATGGAAAACACATTTTGAAAGTGTTATTTACTTCAGGTGATCCAAGTAGGTAGTACTGGCACATTTGAATTAGTAGGGATGTAATTTTCAGGGAATAAAAACTCAGATCATTCTGAAAATTAGGTGTCTCATAAGAGCTTAAAGGCAGGAGGTCAGAGGTGTGCTCCTGGTTAAATGCCACACTAGGTAACTGAACTGTTCTCATCCCTGCCACAGAACTGACATGCTGTGACAAGGGTGCTCAAATCTGAATTTTTGGAGCCAACAGTTTGAGGGTGCCTGGGTTGAGATACCTGGATCTCAGCAAAGCAGCTGAGCAGCCCCAGGCACGTCTGGACCCAAGGGCAGCAAAGCTCTGAACAAGTACCAATGATACTGGAAAGCCTGAGGATAGCAGGCCAAACACAACTGGAAAATTTTGACCACTCCTCACTCAGTTTTCACTAAAACACCCTCTCATCTGACAGTCTTTATCCAAAAATACCATCCATGAAGAATTCAGATACTACAGTGATGGCCACAGGAACATCTCCAAGTGGAAACTCTTTCTCCAAAGTGGTGTTTGACCACAGCCAGCCTCGAGGCAAGGGGCAAAAACCAACGAGGGGAAGCAGGATGGGAAAAGCTGCTCCTTGACAGCCCATCCCACAGCTCTCCCTACACCCCAAACTGGGGCAGGACCCCCAAACCCAACACTCAGGAGCTGGGATGAGGCATCAGGCCCAGAGGAGGGGCCCACAGGGTGTTTCTGTCTGCAGTCAACACTGCCACCCCTCAACTGACCAAAGCAGCCACAGCTGCAGGGAAAACCATTTCCCAAAACATATTTTCTTACATTTTTCTCAGTTCTATTTAGCAACTAGAAACATGAAGACCTAAGTTCAGCCAAGACACGAAGCTAAGGCAGTTGGAAAAGGCTGGCAGAGAAGTGAGGAGTGCCATACTTCCCGAATGTTCTGCTGCTCCATCTCGTGCCTCTTGATCATCGTTTTTCTCTTGAAGAAACGGCAGTTTTTGTCGTAGTAGAGTCTCTGCTGGCTGAGAAGCTGGGCCTCCTCTTCAGCCTGTGTGTGCTGCAGGTTCTCTTTGTGTTTGGATATCCTTTCTTGCTTCTCTTTCTTGGGTGTGCTGTGGTCCTCGTTCATTTCCTGCAGGGTCAAAACAAGGCTTGCCTCAGCACCACAGTGACACAGGACATGGGGGACCTTCCTGGCTCCTCCTCTGCCATTCAGGTCATGAAAGGACACCAAAATCCCACTACAAAACCAACAGAACCAGACCAATCACCTGGCCATGCTCAGCCCTGCTGCCCCTACAGCTGTACCAGGACCCACACCAAGAGGAGGAGGAAAAGTGGCCACTGAGCTCCCTGATAATAATTTTCTCACCTTTACCTTAACAGCCATTTATTTTTGTAATATGGTGAAGACACTACTTAAATAATGCATTTTGGTACATATGAAGTTACTTCTCTTCCTAATTTATGTAAGTGATCACAGGGCTTTTAGTCTGGGGATACTGAATGGCTGCTCTGATTACTTGAAAAACAAAAAAATCAGATGAGGAGAAAGGGGAAGAAGAACTCTCTGTGAAGTCCCATTTTCCCTCATCACCCTTGGTTTCAAAGATTCTGCTCTACAGCAAATTGTGAAGGCACCTGTAGCCATCCTCACAAATTGTTCTGGAAATGCTGCCAGATGCTCCCAGCTCCTGAAAATTTACTTGCTGAGAATCCAAAATTTGCTTCCAAACCTGACAGTATCCCTTAAACCCCTGGGCTGGCCCAGGTTTATCAAAATGAAAGACTGGTTCATGTTCATTCCACACCCCTTCAGCCCTGAAAATGAGGGTTTCTTGCCTCTTTAATCTTTTCCTTGCAAAGCTTGTATTGTTTCTTCTGACTTTCTAAAAAGGTCGCCAGGTCTTTCTTTTGCTGAGCCAAAATCTGTTGCTGGAATTTCTTTTCATCTGCTGCAGCTGCCTTTGCCTGCAATGTACAGAGAGAGGGAAAAAATAACAATAAAATAAAATAAAAAAAAAAAGGTGAGTGAGCAGGTGCAGAATCGAGCAGAAATCAGTGTTGTGGGTTTTGATTTTTGGTCAGTCATTTTGGTGACTGTGCTAGACAAAGCCACGAGCACTCAGCCACAGGACAGCTCTCACACAGAAAATGCTCACAGAAGGCTGAGGGCTTCCTTGTGCTTCTTACCTCTCCACCAAAGGCACCCCAGAAGGCACAACCACACCAGTTTATTATGTGGATTAACATGCTGATTTTTACACTGAGTGACAGCTTTGTCACCCCCTCAGCTGAGGCAAAGCTCCCACCAAGGTCCCCACAGCCCCTTTTATGCAGCTGTGGCACTGGTGGATGGCAACAGAGTGCCCATCAGCCAGGAAGGTGACTCGAGGCTGCTTCACCAGGGAGCACAAGGTCACAGAGTCACCAGGTTGGAAGAGACCTTTGAGATGACCGAGTGCCACCCAGCCCTAACACCTCAATTAAACCATGGCACCAAGTGCCACATCCAATCTTTTTCTAAACACACCCAGGGATGGTGACTCCACCACCTCCCCAGGCACACCATCCAGTACCCGTGTCAAAAACCTTTTCCTAACATCCAACCTATATTTCCCTTGGTGCAGCTTAAGTCCAGTTGGAACCCAGGACATTCCTCTGACTGCCCTGGAGGACTTGAAACCCTGGCAGGGGGCTCAGACACCTTGGCCTGTGCCTTTGATTTTAACCCATGGAAAAAATTACCAGCCTTGTATGAAGATGTATAAGCCATGAGAGTTTAAGTAGAATAACAGTTAATTTGTCACAGGGTGAAAAAAGTAGAACTTTGGGGGTTTTAGAATGAGGGTTCAAGAGGCAAGATGGAGGAAGCTGGGCATGTTCTGCCCTTCTCCTTCTTGTCCTGCATCTTTTGCTGTGACGGTGGCACTTTTGGATTGGTTTAGAGTAGAGACAGACTGTCTAACATAGGTGATAGGTATTGGAAGATTATTGTAAATAAAGCACACATAGTTTTTAGTATAAAATGTTAATACCACCCCAAGGGCAGTCAGTGTGCCATGAACCAACCTGCCAGACGGACCTCAGCAGGTCAGAAAAAGAATGTCATAGATAAGGAAAAATAAACAACCTTGAAAAGCAGAACCGATGCATCTCAGCTTCTCCGGTCGCAGGGCAGGGAGAAAAGACTGTTTAATACCTCAGGAGCCATTTCAGCAACACAAAACCTGAGAAAAACCTTGTCCTCTCGTTCTGCACCTCAGACCACGGGTTTGAGCAGCACCTCCCACAGCCCCCTCGGAGACCTGGGCTCTCCTGTCCCTCAGATCCTCCCTGCACTCACCTCCTTCTCCATCACAGCCACTTGCTTCTTGGCCAGCTTCTCCAGCTCAATGGACGAGTTGTTGGCGTGTGTCTCCACCTCCTTCTGCAGCTTGAGGCGGTGCTCGTCCATCTCGGCCTTCAACTTGTTCTCCAGGGCGATCAGCTGCTTCTGGTGCTGGCGCCGCATCCGCTTATATCCTGACATCTGTTCCCGCAGCTCGTTCTCCTGCTCATGCTCATGGATCTGTCTTGTAACCTGTGGGCAGGAACAGGACAACCAGTGCTCCATGGCCTTGCTTCCCAGGCTGGCTGCTCTCTGGAAGCCAGGCCCTGCTCTGCTCTGAGCAGTCAATGGGTTTTGGAGGTGCTGCTGTTCAGTTTCACAAAGCCACGAGGTTTCTCTGTCCTAACTTTTAGCCCACATCTTTTCCTGAGACTTTTATGTTTCCAGTAACACAGCTGAAAATGCTATATAACAAATAAAGGAAGGGACTGGTTATTTATTGATGCCTTGTGAAGGCTGCCTTAGAACAGAGACTACATGGAGCTGAAGAATAAAGTAGGGATTTATTAAGAGGCCTCAATGGATCCACCTTGGGCAGCACAACCCAAAATGGCCACAAAATGTAGGACACGTCATGGGGCCTTACACTTTTGTAAGTTTTGGTCTATTTACATATTGGAGTTAATTGTCCAATTACAGCTTTAGGTTATGAAGTCCCATCCTTGTTTTTCTCTCTTCAGTCCATGTTGTTTATGCTCTTGGGCCTGAGATTTGGATCATTTGTCCTTGGTGTCCAGCTAGAGAAGGAATTGTTTTGTCTCCCTGCTCTGTGAAGAGAGTTCACCATCCCTAATACAAAGCCCAGACTTAGACACTAAAGCAGAACAGAATCTGAAAAACGGAAAAGCTAAAACCTGAGGCATGATTATCACTCCAGGACACATTGGAGGAGGTCTGGAAACAAAGGTGGCTGGTGGACAATGTTCTTCACACACAGGGGACAACCTTATTCAGACACGGGACTCAGATCCTGAGGGTGGCATGGACTCTCAACTTTGGGACCCTGGCTTTCCCAAGAAGCAGCCAGAAGCCCCCCAAACCCCTGTTCTTTCCTTCCTCTTCAAGTCACCCCCATGCCAGCTCAATCCCTCAACATCTATATTCTGCTACAAGGAGCCTCCTTCAAAATTTACCCTTAAAATTCAAGATGATGGCAGACTGAGCTCGTTCCTTCCCAGAATTGAAAGTTTTCTAACAAGGGAACACTGTTCTGGAACTGTGTGCTCTTAACAAGATTGATCAGATGGTCTAAGCAGATTTTAAACCCTGCTCAGCTGAAACAAACTCACAAGTTCTACATTCATTTCCATGCCCAAGTGTATCCATGTGAAAGGAAGAAAAAAAAAACACCAACAGGCTGTGCCAAAAATGTTCAGAAGAAAATGCAAATGGTGATGCTTCCATTTCAAAAGAACAAAAGTGTCCAAGACTGATTTTATTTTTTTAAAGACAGTCTCAGGAACTTATGAAGATCTGATATCATTTATATGACCTGAGAACCAAAAACTGCTACATGTGTGGAACTGCAGCCCCTGATTCTGTGCAAGGGGACCTCTGCTTTGCCACTTAAGTGTGAAGATCTCAGGCCTTTGAAGGTTATCACTGAAGCTTTATGAACCAAGAGTCCCTCCTGCAGCCTTCCTGATGGATTCCTCCACAGCAACCCAAAAAGCTGGCCCCTGCTACGGTGCTGCTGTCATTTGAATGGATATTTTTGGAGCTCAGACACAGGACGGGATACACCTACAGAGCTGGGAAGGCTCAAGTTCAACAGAAGAGCAGCTGCTTTAGGGAGCTGCCATCCCAGTGCACCTGCTGGCTCCAGGGCTGAGAGGTGACAGGAAGCCAAGTCAGGGCTCCAAAATCAAGAGATGAATACCCTGAGGTCACCCAAGGCAGGCAGAAAATGCCACCTGTCTTGGTTCAAGTGACCCCCAAGACTTGGGAGGAGGGTGAAGAGGAACTCAGGAAGAGCCTCCCCAAGATTGCAAAGGAACCAAAGAACCAGGCTGAGCACAGCACTGTCACACTCAGGTTCATCAGTGAGGCTGAGTACACACCAGGTGATGATGGACAAACCACCTCCTTCCTACAAGAAATTTCAGAATGTCATTCTGGAGTAGGCTGCAATAAATTCACCTCAGCAACTGGTGTAACAGAGCAGCCTGTACATGCTTGAGACCCAGTCAGAGCCAAGGCAGCCACCAGGAGCAAGCAGGGTTGTAGGAATGACACACTCTGTGAGCCCTGTGTTCTGCTACAGCTCCAAAAGCTTTTGGTTTTTCCAGGAGTAGCAAGGACAGCCACACTTGGATGAAGATGGGAAGTGCTCATAGGAACTTGCACATTTCAGTCAAGTTCAGCAAGAGTAAGATCTCTACCACTGCTTCCAGGTAAGGAAAGTTTCTCTGAGAATCCAAGTTAAAAGACAGATGCCAGGTGAGACAGGCAGCCCACCAACACTTCACACATGCCATTGACAATGTTCAGTGACATCCAGCTGGGAGAGAACAGCCTTGGTCAGGCACTTGAAGAGAAATGGAGATCTGGGAGCCACCAGCAGCACAAGATCTTCCTGGATGTGCTATTTTTGGGGCCCAGCCCTTTTGTGAGCAATGGGATGTTCTGCACGGCACACTCCGTTCCCAGATGTTGGCAGAACAAAGCAAACAGCAAGAGCCTGAGAAAAAATGGATCTAAGGATCCCCCAGCAACTTTGCCAGTCTCCTTTGGTCTGATCTCTAATGAGATGTAGAATGTGCACTTGTTTTATTTACAGCAAAACTCATTAACTTTTATCCTTGTTTTTTTCCCTGCTCCTCTGCACGCCATTTCCAATTTTGCTCAGCTTTATCGTGACAAGAATTCCATCTTGGAAAGATTTCCCATGAAATCTAGGATATTTATCGCTGACAATAGGATGCAATTGCTAATTACAAGCCTAGCTGATAAAGCCTTCCAGTCACAACAGAAGATGAGACATTAAAAAGTCAGAAGAAAACAAAAGCAGTGTCTCATCCTAAAGATGAGAGAGGAGAACAGCAGACTTGGTGGACATCTCGTGGATTTAGTGTCTCTGTTCAGCAAACTCATGATAAAGACTTCATTTATCACCACAATCTCCAGTCAAGCCCAGCACTCCTCAGGACAGTCTTCAAAGACAACGTCTGCACATGGTGATCTCAGGGGTGGCAGAATGGGGAAGAAATGAACATCAGTTACTGACCATGCCCGGTTCCATGCCAGAGAAGCCCTTCAGACTATGAATGAATAAAGGATTATGGTTTTAAAATTAAACCCCTAATGAATGAACAGCTCCAGCAACCATTTTAACAAGAAAATGTGGGGATGTTCAGCAATCACCTTTCTGGTGTCCTTAGACAAAGACTCTTGGAACTCCATGTACTATTTGGAATATCCTGAGTGGGAAGGGCCCCACAGGGGTCATGGAGTCCAAATCCCAGCCCTGCACAGACACCTCAGCAATCCCACCCTGTGCATTCCTGAGAGCATTGTCCAAGTGCTCCCGGAGCTCTGGCAGCTTTGGGGCTGTGCCCATTCCCTGGGGAGCCTGGGCAGTGCCCGGCACCTTCTTGGGGAAGAACCTTTCCTGATATCCAACCTAAACCTCCTCTGACACAGCTCCAGCCATATCCTGAGTCCTGTCCCAGGTCACAGGGAGCAGAGATCGGAGCTGCTCCTCAAGAAGAAGCCCACAAACAACCCCCCAGGCAAAAGGTGATAACTACAAGATTTGTTCTCCATACAACCAGGAAATGTCAGGATCCTTCACACCAGAAAGGTGCAGTTTCCTGGAGCTCTCCCTGCAGCACACAACAATCAATCAAGTCATCAGGAGAACCAAAAACCTGTACAAACCAGAAGAGCTTTCATTAAGGTATGACATTTTCTCAGTTTCTTATCTCTCTGCATCTTTGGCATACACAGAACTGAGAACAGAGATGTCTTTTCCAACCTACTCCCACAGGCAGTTCATTTGCCATAAAATCCAAACCTTCTTTCACCCCTCCAAGATTCTAGCTTTATGTAAGGAAGTTGAGCTCACAGCTTCTCCTCCAAACCCGCAGCAGTTTAGAGTTCCCTTCTCTACACTGTTTATTCAAGATATTGAACCCTCTCCTAAAAGACAGGAGTTTTCACCTCCAGATAACTGAAATTCCGAGCTCCTCTCTGCTGGAAGAAGCAGAGCTCTGAGCAAAACACTGCCAGCTGCTTCTCACAGCAAGAGGAGATCAGAAAGAACAAGTCCGAACTTTGAGAGGGAAGGTCTACAAAAACAGCAGCCAGATGAGTCCATTGGGAGAAACTCAACCCTCTGGAATAAAACATCAATGCTTCAGCAGAAGAGGGTGCAGGGAACAGCTCCATGCAAAGGTACCTGGCTCTGGAGTCAGGCTGCCCTGGTGCCATTCTCCTGGCCACATCCAGGGAATGCTGCTCCCATGGACACTTGGCTCTGCAGGCCCTGATGAGATCACATTGTTCTTTCGCTGGCATTTGGATTTCAAAGAGAACACCAAGGCCTTTGATGGAGTCCTCACTGTCTGATCTTTCAGATTGAGATGTGAGGGTGGTGAGCAGCTGTGGCTGCCCCTGGATCCCTGGCAGTGTCCAAGGCCACGCTGGACAGGGCTTGGAGCGCCCTGGGATGGTGGAAGTTGTCCCTGCCCATGGCAGGGGTGGAATGAGATGGGCTTTAAGATCCTGTCCAACCCAACCCACTCTGGGATTCTATGAAGTTTTAACTACCTGATCATTGCCTTTGAAAACTGTAAAAGCAACTGTTGAGGAGATGCACGAGGAAGGGGGGACCTAAGGGGTCAAGCTTGAAAGACACCCAGAAGTGCAGATCAATGCATCTCTGAAGAGATTCAAAAAACAGCTTTCCCTTGAAAACATTGAGAGGTGTAGTCTCATCAACATGCAGAACCTCTGCCCTCCTTTTCAAACAACAGCTTGCTGAGCTGCAAGAGATTGATGGTTATAACTTTTAATTTATGGATCACTGATGATCTGAGAAATAATATGGAGATGTAGGTGCCTGGTCTCCATTTCAGATGGCAACTTTTACTCCAACAGCAGAAATATGCGAGGTATTTTCCACCACTGTTCCAGGTGAGTGATGGTTACTGTTACCACACAAAACTGATTAAAGAGAAAAGTGGTCCAGGAAAAAATGACTACTAAAATTGCTGATTGAATTATGACCTAAGTTAACCTCCTTCATCTTTCTTATTCGCATTTGCTGATTTTCATGATTTTCTTTAATCTGAGCAATATTAAAGCACTGCTGCAGGACTCAAAAGGGGATATCCACAGCCTGTTTCTTTGTGGAGAGTTCATTTGACTATTTTCTCTGGAGCTCTGTCCAGCCTCCTTCATATTCACATGATGCTTTTGCAGAGTACCAGGGCAAGGGAATCACTCTCCAAACCACTGAGTCACCTGGAGTGTTCAGCTGTCTAACAAAAGTTCCTCTTTGACCTCTGCACTCCCTGAAACTGCTTCAGTTTGTTTTTGGAAAGAGATCCAACTTGAATGTGGGATTACTTTAAGGAATGCCAGTCTTACCTCCATCTGCAATATCCTGATCTATGGGGAGAAGAGCAAGGGCTTGAGAGCCTGCACTGCTGCACTGAACCAGGAGGAACAGCTGTGGAGTGAACAGCCCCAGACTTGGTGCTTTTCTTCTAAAAACACTGCCCTGGTCTCACTGTTAGGGGGTGGATTTCAGCAAATCCCATGAAAGGAAGTTTTAACACCCAAATATCATCCAATATTATTGAATTTGGGGCCAGAACTCCCATTTTTGATTCTCTACAATACAGGCCACCAGATGCACCCAACTGCACAACCTTTCTGTGCAGGAAGATGTTCCCAGCTGCTGAGAAATGGGAAGCAGCCAGAATGTAGGGAACCATCAAAGCTCACTGGTTTGGTTGTTTTCAGCCCCTGTGGGATCTTGAGCACCCATTCGCACATGAAAAATCTGCTGTTCCAGCTGCCACTGAAAGAGTAAATAAAGCCTGAATTTCTGGGTTTGCACTACAAATTCCAGGCATGTTCAGGTCCTTCTCCCCCTGTCAGCTCCATGACTGACCGTGCCCTTCCCACAAATATTGGACAGGGAAGCACGAAGAAGTTCTCCCTTGGCCAGAGGAGCAGCAGCTTCCAGCACCTCTCCCCACTGACATCATCTAGGCACTGAATGGTGACAGTGATAAAAAGTGCTCCAAAACAAGCACTGGCACCCTGATTCTGTGCAATGGGTTTAAACTTTTATTTTTTCCTCCTGGATTTCCATTTTGGTACATGAAGAGGTGGGAATGGAAGATTATTAAAGGGAAAGCTCATCACCATGAATATTTCTGTGGCAAACACAGGATCAGTTCTGCTCCACCACACAACCTCAGAAGTAAGGACACACCAACACCTCCTGGAGTGCCCAGGCTGGTGTGTGGGGAACTTCCCTCTACACTGGGAAGGGGAGATGTGTGTGCATGATGGGGATAACAGAGCATGTTCCACAGAAAACCCAAAAAAGAGAAGCTCTCTAAAAAGCTTTCCATCTTCCCCACCCAAAATGAATTTTATCTTTATCATCACTTGGCCATTGAAGCAGAGAGATTCAGCAAATCCAAGTGAGTAAGGAATTAAGGCAGACACAATCCCAGCCCCACAGGAGGCTGCCATGGGATTTAGCAGTGACCTTGGGATATCAGCTCTCTTCCCCAGAGCTCAGGGGTCTGGGAATCCCTCACAGCCCATATTTTCATTGCCTCCCAAAGGGGCTTGGCCATGCAATCCCTTCAAGCCACCCAAGTAGCCCAGGGGTGACATTTCCAGGGAAGACAGGAGTTCTGGGCTCTGCTGCTGAAGGCAGGCCACAAGGTGCAGCAGCTTTGCACAGGGAGTAGAAGAACATGAATATATTCATCACACATATCAATTTATCAATGAAATTGTATGTCTGGAGTATGATACATGAGTCATTCATTATTTCTGCCCTCCAGCCAACCTGACTGGGTCCCACTTTTATCTGCTCAGTGCAGGCAGTAGAAGAGCTGGCACTACACTGGGTGCAAAAACACACACACACACAAAAAGGAAAAATTCCCAGGGCAGAGGGTCTACAGGAGAGCAGGGATTCTGCCCCTGTCAGGTGTGCTGCATGAAGTCCTCTAACACACACATTTCTAGGTCACTTTAAACTGGGGGGAGCAGGGGACACCAGCCTGGGGGGCACTCAGGCTATGGGCACCCAGAAATACACCTGCAAAATATGGGATTCAGATGCTCCCAGGAAGCATCTGGGCAGAAGCCTGAATGCCACAGCATCACTGTAGATTTTAACAGCAGCAGCAACAATCACACAGAAAAATTTGGGCTGCTGGCACTGCTGCTTGCCTCCAGTCACCACCTTTAGCTGTGGTCACACACACACAGAGGCACACCCCGTGCCTTGTGCAGGCAGGAGTGGGAAGCGATTCTGGGGATCCAGAAATGGTGGTCTGGAAGGAGAACCCCCATGGTGGAGGCAGGAGGAAGCGGGAAGGGGAGGGCTCGCTGGTGTAATTTCGGGGTTGGTCCAGGATGATGTCATAGCACTGAGCAAGTGCCATGGCCAAACCGTGGGGACTTTCTAACGCTCCCCGTCCATCTGACCTCTAATACCAGCGGGCTGAAATATTTAACAGGACATTTCGTTTTCCCTCTGAAGGGCCATTTTTCACTGCTTTCCCTGGAAAAGGCTGCTCCCAGCCCGGGTGGATGCGGGGTGGGGGAGGAGGCACACAACTAACTCTTCCGGCACACACCCCTTTCCCTACTACAAAGGCAGCCACAGCAATCACATTTGCAATAGTACAAATCTTGATGGATTCATCCCATCCCCCTCCCCTTTGTAAGCCCACAGCCCGCTGTAAGCCCTCTCTCTCTCTCTGTCCCTTATCGCAGCCCAGCAATCCTTCCAAAGAATCAGGCTGGAAAATGCAATCACGGTACAGTTGCTTGAAATAAATGAATGAATGAAATAAAAAAACCAGGCAGCAGCTCAGGGCGGGCAGCAGCGATCTTATTGTTCCCAAACCCATCTGCATCTGCATCTCCACGGCGTTCCAGCAGCTCTCACACACCTCACACACTCTCCATGCACATGCAGATAAATATATTAACAAAAGGGACAGGTGGGAAATGGAGGTGGGGGGGAATGAGATATTAACTTCACCCAGGAAGGTGGGCTATATCACACTGGAAATGCACCGAGAAATTAAACATATTTCACATTTATATCTCTCGCTCACACACACACACACACAGAGGTAAAATCTCTTTCAGTGCAATATCCAGTTGCTATGCCAACAGCACCAACAGCACGGAGGCGATGGCAGCGAGGGGCTGAGGAGCGGGGTGGGGTGGGATGGGGGCTCTTACCAAAGATGCTGATTTGATTGTGGCAAAGCGCTCTCGGTTCCGGTAGTGGAGGGCCTGATTCTGCACTGACTGGGTAGGCCGCACCTCAGGCCTGCGATCCCTGTGGCCCACCTCATCCCTTATAAATACATGATCCTGCAGAAATGGATAAAAACAAGGAGAAAGTCCGGCTGTGCTCTTCCCGCGGCGGCTGCCTCTCTCTCACCCCTCTGTCTGCACAAGCGCGGCTGTAGGAGAGGCATAGTTCAGCTCTGCTTAGCCCCGGCAGCTCCCACCGTACAAAATGAATAAGCAACACATTGCAGCTCAGCTCGGCGCGTCAGCTGATCGCGAGCAGGATGCCTCCGAATCCCTGGATCGGGCTGCCTTTTTTTTTTTTAATCTCCTTTTTTTTTTTTTTTTTTTTAAACCTCCAGTATTACATATGTGCCAGAAAAAAGCGAGCCGGGAGCAGGAAGCAGAGCGGGGCGATCGGAGTCCTCGGGAAGGTCGGGTTCAAGCACTGCAAGCCAGCGATCCTGGTGAAAACGTGATTCCCATGTCTAGGCACGGAGATCCTGTTCCCTTTTAACACCACAGCAGCATCCTGCCTCATTCCCTTTGCCGAGCGCTGTGTCCTCGATAGGGTTTCTTTGTCCCTCGTTTGCTATCTGCTGTGGGGGACCAGCATCCTGGCTAAATCCACGGCAGGCTGGAGAGGACCAGGAAAGCCTCCGTGACCACTCAGGGATCCTGCTTTCCAGTCATGATCCTGCACAGTTCTAGCACTTTCTCTCCACAGCCCACAAAGGATTTTTTTTTTTTTTTCTTTTTAAAGCAACAGCTCCCAGGTTTTAGCAGGAATGGTTCCCGGTGCAGCTTCCCTCCTGCTCCCTGGCAAGGCTCTGCCAGGAGCGGCTGTGCCCTTCCCAAACAGCCCGGGCAAATTTGGGAGTGGAACAAAGCTCCAGGAGAAACCCTCCTCAGAAAGGCCAGCAAAAAACCCACGCCACCACGATTTTCCCAATGGGAATGGTGATTGCCAACAGTCAGCACACCTGCAGGCTGCACCCCGGGCACGGAGCAGCCTTCGGACACCCGGCACACCCCGCTCCTGCCCGGCCACACTGGCACCCACCACAGGGTCATGACTCCCATCCTCAACCTCCAGCTCCTAAATCCTCGCAGGAAGACTGAGATTCTTCCTGAATTAAATCAAGTTTCCAGTTCTTTGGGGCGCAAAATAAAGGCTGCCAGTGCCTAGAAAGCCCTTGCAGGGAAGAGGCTGCCTCCATGCGCAGGAGCAGATTTGCCACCCTGCCATGGCCCAGCAGACACCAGGAAGGTCAGAGAGCCCCACAGGGAGAATCCATGGAATGGTGTCTCCATCAGGACACTGCTGTCACCCCCGTGCTCCTTTCCCACCCCACAGACACCTGGTTTTCCCCTCTGCTGGCCTCCATTTCCAGCTGCTTCTCACCCACATCCACACACACTCAGCCCTTTTCAATAGGATTCTGGAAATGAGTTCAAGCAAAAGCAAATTAGGTGCAAAAATGCTGATATTAAGAGCTGAACACCACACTGAAAGTGCTTTAACCCCAAAACCTTTCCTTATCCTTCCTTTTGAGCACTCCCAGTCCATGCTCACCTTTCCCTTGCCTTTGCTCAGTGCCCAAGGCCACCACAGAGCCAAGCCTGCACCAGCTCCTCTACACCCACACAAGGGACACAGAATGAGCCAAAACAGCTAAAAAGGACAGTCCTCCACAGAAATACAGAGTGTCACAGAGTGCAGCTTCATTTTATATTGGTCATCCTTATACTGGGTATTTGTGGCACTGTCTGACAGGAAAGGCAGTGAGACCACAAGAGAAATCACTGAAAATTGGACTGGTCTCAGATTTCCAACTCGTGCACGTTGGTGTGACGGGCAGAGCTCTTGGACTTGCCAACATTCCTGAGAAAGGCACATGCGAGGCTCTAGAACAGCCATCCCCAGAAGATACTGATTAAACATCTGAAGTCCAACAGCATCTCTCAGTTTAATCTGACTCTCAGCCTCACCAGAGGGATCCCAAACCCTGTAGTGAAGATCTGCCCCAAACTCACCCACCTGAACCCCAAAGGGAACAACAGCACACAGGAGCCACCAGTGCTGTACTCCAGCCATGAAACGGAGGTGGGGACAGGACAAATGTCACCCCTGGTCACACACAGAGCCTGCAGCAGCACCTGTGAGTGCACAGGGTTCCCAAAGCCTGCTAAGCAATACCCCAATCCCTGCATCATCTTCCTTCTCTCCATTATGTTGGTATGGCAAATATCCAGAGAAGCTGCAAATCACTGAAAAAACCCCCAACTTTTAAAATGGGCATTCAGACTTTCCAGAATGCTCCAAAACACCACCTAAAATAACAAGTATAAGTTGCAATTGCTCTTTATGCTGGAAAATTAATCTGTTATTTACTTTTTGTTATCCAAGAGGTGGCTTTTTAGAGGGCAGAGTGTCACCCTGGCCTTGTTTTATGGGATCTCTGGTTACCTCAGTGCACATGAGAAGCTCAGAGCAGAATTAAATTGCCCTTCAGGAATGTGAATTAACCACATTCTGCATTTCAAACTCAGCTGGGCAAGGAATGGGAAAATTCCTTTGCAACTGAGCAAGCCAAAGAACCAATTTCAAGGGAACAAAAAAACTCAGCTGGTAAGAGAAATAAATCTATGAGTAGCCACATCTCCATCAGCCTTCCTCAGATGAGGGGACTGATGGCAAAGACAAACATCTCCCTACAAACCCAGAGAAACAGAATTTTGCTGCTTTAAAATAAAATTCTTCTTCTCTCAAAATCTTGCTAAGAGACTGCAGTCATAACTGTTGGCACAGATAAGGAAATTTTGTTTCCAACTTTCAGCTTCAGATGTGTGGGAAACAAAGACCCAAAATTGGCATCTCAGCTCATGGCACCCAATAAATAAAATCTGACTGAAGGCATCCCAGAAACTCACCAAGTTTGGGTCAGGGGACCTCTCAGCCCCAAATCTGCATTTCAAACCCTGGTTTGTTTTTAAAGTAATGTATCTTCTATATACACTTTGTTTTCCCATCTGTTTTCTGTGGTTTTCTTGCAATATTTACCTTAAGGATGCAACTTTAGGCATGCTCAGCTCACAACTCACTCATTAAAATCCTCTTCTTCAGGGACAACAATCCAGAATTTTCAACTTCCTACTCAAGGAATAATTTGTTCTTCTGACTTACCATCCACATAAACAGTTTTCAGGTGACACTGCCAGGACAAAACCATTCTCAAATATTCCCACAGCATTATCTGAGCAGAGCTGGTGGAGCTTCCAGTGGTGCTCCCAGCTGGATCTGTATGGCTGCTCCTGGTGAACTGTCTGAGCACAATGAGTTTGTGTCAAACCACGAGCTCAAAATCCAACACAGAGAGGATTTTGCTCTGAGTCCCATCCCAGTTCTATCACACACTGTCTTTTCATCCTTCTCCTCACTGAAAAAAAGGCCTTTAGCATCCAAATTCTGCCCAGCCCAGAGCTGGGACACCTCCACCTTCTCAGGAGGAACACTCCCTTTCCCGCTTGGGGTTTTTTGCTATGCACACCAAGTAAAACCTCCATGGACACAGGAGGAGTCATTAACTGCTGCCAGTCTCCTAGACAAACAGGAAAGGCAATTTCCAAGCCCCACTAAGGACTTCCATGGAATTGCAGCAAACCCCTGCTTTCTAGGAATTTAAAGAGCAAGGAAAACAATAGTGTGGCACCATTTGTCTTAATACACTACTTTAAGTGCCTTGATAATCAACAGGGAGGTTTAAGCTCTGTCCATGCACAAAATTCCCCACAGATGCTGAAATTAATTGGAGCAGCAACAGGAGATGTGCACAGGTTAATTCACAGGATCTGGGAAGTCACTCAAGTTGCAGCAGTTATTGTAAATGTACTTTATTATTGCACACATTGGGTGAGAACTTGGGATGATCAACTATAAAGATCCTCCTTTCCATCTTCTTGTTATAAACCAGATCTTAATCACAAGTTTTCCCTGACATTTTACTGCCCAAGTTTCAGAAAGCACTGATGGTTTTAAGATTGAAGCAAGAAACAGCAACAGCTGAGTACTGCAGTTGAAAAAAACCAATATTGTACTGGCTTTTTGTTTAGATTAAAAGATTACAACACCTTATTATTATAGTTTTGCAGAAATAAAATAATAAAAAATTCATTGAGGACAATGAAATAATATTTCTGGGAAGCCACCTGTGCCCACACTGCCGTTTACCAGCAGCTGAACAAATAGGTGACAAAACATCTCTGATGCATCAGCTGATGCCTATACTCACTTTATTGTTTTACTATGGGAGCCAAAAATCTTTACCCTCATTTTTAAGATGAATTAACTGATATTTATCTGATTTTAAAATCTGGTTTATGTGTCTTTGAAGCACAGTGTATTTGGAGTTTTACTCCCTGCCCCATTTTGTCATTTTTTGGGGCTCCCAGGTACAATTGGGTTTGATCAGAGCTGTCACTGACCCTTCAGCTCTCAACCTGTGCAGCTGAACAGCTCCTGAAGGGAGATGGATGTGAGAATGTGTATCCATAGGCAAGATGCCCCTTGCATGGAGTAGCAGACTTATTTAACTGTATTCAGAAGAAAGTTCTTACACTGGACATAGTGAGATGTACATGGAGGAGCTCACCAACCTGCAAAAGGACAAGGAAAACTCTCATCCAAGCCAGACATCTGAATTTCCTGAAAAGAATATGCTGGTGATTAAGGTGTCCTCCTGAGGGAGCAGGGTTTGATCCCAAGGATGGGCTTCATTCTTTTTCCTCCCAGGAGTTCAGGACACAGCTATAAACTAAATAACACAAAAAGCTCCACATTCAATTATGGCTTGTTATTTTTTTAGTATTTTATTCCTGTCTGGTGATTTTTCTTCCAGCCTAACAGGTGTACTCTGACAGGTGGGAGTCACCTTTTTTCTAAGCACAAGATGAAAACCATGGAGCTCTGCTGTGCTGTGGAAGGGGTTGTTTTCCACAGAGGATTCATCCCAAGTGCAGCAAACCCCAAGCACCTTGGCTGCCATGGACTAGCATAGCCAGTGACAATTAACCAGATCAGAACAGGTCATTTCACTTACCCTGTGACCACAAAACATTTTTGGAAGTTACAGCCAACTAGCAGCTGTTAAAAAAAAGAAAGAAAATGAGTTGTTTACAAGTGCTTTTACTCCATCAGCCTCTTCCCTAAGCCTCTGCCTCAGGGTAGGTCACAGGACAAGCCAGGAGTGCTCCTCAGGTGCCTGAGGCTTCTCCCAGCCCAGCAGCACCCAGGGATGGGCTGCTCCTGCTCTCCAAGGCCAGCCCAGCCTGCCTCTCCACACCAGGCAGCAGCTGCAAGCGCTGAAGGCTGAGAACTGCATCTCACACCACCACAGACTCCTCCAGCCTACATTTTACCTGCATGTGACATTCTGGGGCTGTGGCCCAAAACACCAGAAGGGCTCTGACTTTTTAGAGCTCTGAGCTATAGAAAATATCAACACTCCAAGCCATTTTGCCTTCTTGGACCCTTTCCACAATCTGGAGGTTGTTCATTAACACATTTGTGGAATGCCACAATTTTATACAACAGTTTGACTTCATCCATGTCAAAACCATCTCATATGTGACCCTACACCCACAAAATGCTGCTTTATGTTCATCAGTATTTTATTTTTAGCCTTTAATGGCTGATTAAATGCAAAGTAAGAGCTTAAATTAAACTTGAACCCCAGGTTCTTCCCATTGTGTTTGTGAGGGGCTCCAGAGTGACACCCAAAACTCAGCTTCATCCCAGGTTCCAGAAATGCAGTTAAAGCACAAAGACAAACTGAAATCTTGGCAGAACAAAGAACTTTACCTTGAAAATAAACTGGGATGTATGTGGATATAAACCCCCCTGAAATGTCAGGCTGCAATTTTAGTCTCTTCACATATATTAATACACATGTGAAGCAGTTTTCCATTTAAAATTGCATTCCCCAAAGTAACAAAGAATTAAAAAATAGTGTACTAAATTAAAACAGTATATTTGCAGAGTGGAATATGTCCTGCTACACAGAGTCCAAATCTGCTTTATGAATTACATACAGCAGAAGGGAACATTTTCCAATGGAGAAGGAATCTACTCCAAGGACCAGCAGTCCTAGCCAATCCTTAGCTGTTTTGTGAAGACCATCAGTGCACACCTGGGCTTTCTGCTCCCAAAATTACCCTAAAACTCCTGTGTTAAGTCATGTAGAGGTGATTTCTTTTATAATACTTCAGTTACAAGTGTGCAAGACACCCTGGGTTTTTTCAAACCACATAAAAACTTCCATGTGGTGTCCTGTTTGTGCACCCTACACACAAGTCTAGGAGGACTGAATTTACAGCATCAGAAATGCTGTATTTATACTTTACAAGTGTCATACAACCATTATAAAACACAGTACTAGTCTTAAAACAAGCAGGAACTCTACTCCTTTCACAAATGCCATTTATGTCTAGAGGGAGCAGCTCATGTTTTGTTTTTATCAAATATAAAAACTCTGAGCAGTGATTATAACATATGAATTCTGTGTAAATCAGTCCCTCAAACTTCTATTTTAATGCACAAGTAAATATGGCTATTTAACAACGTGAAATTAAAGTTAACACACATTTTGAAGGCCTACATAAAATAAGAAAGAGCTCAAATCATAACCACCAAGACATCCATCAGTGGTGCTGCTCCTCATTCAGGACAGTTCCATGGGCTGGCATCTGGTACCTAAAATCTTATTTTCACCTTTCTGAATAAACAATCTTTTCTAAAGATGCTGTCAAGTGTCTTTAGGAAAGAAGCAAACCCCTAAAACCTTCGCAACTTCTCTGCCAGTATCTTTAAATATGAAAGACCGTATTTTGTTGAAGACAAAATTTTGCAATAGTTCTTAATATTCAATGACACAAACCCTGCACTTCAGGAGGAAAAAACTGCTTACAAATATTTAGTTAGTTACAACCAAGCCTTACTGTGACCTTACAAAGAAGAAATTCATACTTTCCATGCTGCTGCAATGTTCTAGCTCCTCTGGCAAAAAGCAAATGTACACTTTGAAGTTCCTTGCAAACGAAACCAACACAGCCAACCTACATTTTGCTGCCCACTAGCAAATGACACTGCTTAGGCCAAGCCAAAACTGTTTTAGTCAGACAAACAGTGGAGATGAGGTGCTGGCTTACAGCTAGACAACCTTAGCTCGAGATCCAGCCCTAGGAAAAGGAAAGGCATCAGATCACAGCATGCAGCAAAGCAGCAGGAGGGCATCGAGTGGGACCTGACTCCAGACGCACCTCGTGGGAAGGGTCCAAAGCTCTGCACACTTCCACTCCTCACAAGGGAAATCCAAGTGCAGGCAGGTTTGAACCACACACTGTGCCTGGCAGAGGGTTAGCTTGGCTGCCAGGACCAACACAGAGCACAGCACAGGCATTCCCAAGGAAACAAGCATGTCCCAAGCAGAGGAAGAGGTGCACATGCAGGGCTGGGCATGCGGGGAGCCTGGGTGACCCTGCCTGGGCACTGACAGCTCCTGGAGTAGCAACCTCTTTTCATGGGCAGAGGTTCTTTAGATGCTTTTGAAGACAAAAACCCCACAGAACTTGACTGTGGCAAGCCCGGCAGCAGCTCCTGCTCTCAGCACAGAGCAGCAGGGCACACGTACCTTCTTGTGAACAACGGAGGAGGTGGAATTAATGGTGCTCTCGTCACTATGCATCATGACCAGCTCAGGGCTGCTCTCATCCAGGACCTCCTGCATGCTGCTCACACTGCTGCTCTGGCTGCCTGTGCTCACAGACATGCTGGGGATGGAATGGTTGCTGCCCAGACTGTCCATCTTCCTACTCAGGTTTGATCCATGCTCACTGTCCTATAAAACAAGGGGCATCAGTTACAGATCCTGCAGGAGATCTCCTGCCCAGCACGTGCCTGCAACGCCCGGAGTTTGTTTTAAAGGTGACTCTGCAGGCTTCAAGGGTCTTTGGGCATTATTTTGCCAACTGGACATCTCAAAGGGCTGTTTGGGTTCTGGAATGCTCCATATCAGGCAGGCAGCCCCTGCCTTTTTCCCTGCAATCTGATCACATCAGGTTTCAAGCCAATTTTCCCCCCACATATCCTTAAGTCTGGGCATGGCTCTTGGCTTGATAGGAGACATCCAGGAATACTGGATGGCTGGTGGAAGGAGCCTCATAATTAAGAGAAATTATCCAAGTTTGAACTAAAACAATGCTTCAAGTCAGGATCTGCTATAACACATTTCCTGAATCAAAAATATGTAAGATAATGAATCTACTTATTATTTTATATATTCTACATGGTGTAGAGGTTTTAGCCTCCATGTCCCAAGCAGTCAGCAATTCCATTTTATCAAGCTAAAAACCCCTTGAACCTTGTGTTTACAGCCAAAATAAAGATGAGTGAAGAATCTTAGCAGCTGACTCAGATGAGCCTGCATTATTATAGGGGTTAAAACTTGGATATACATAAATAAAGATTCCTCATACAAAAGGTATTTTTGATTCTACAGCCAAGTATCAGGAGTTAGCAGCCTTTTTCTCCTTCCATACCCATGGCAGTACCGTAATGCCAGAGTATGCACTTAGTCTGGACTGATTGAGAGAATTTATGGAGTCCTTGGTAATTAACTAGTGGCACCAAAGAGGCTCATAAGGAGCTCACAGTACAGAGGACAGAACTCTGTACATCCTTCAGCTCCTGGGGTGAAGCAGCCTTGACTCACTAAAAGGAGCAGCCTGCTGCTGCATCCAGTTTTCCCTGGCCTCTGAAGGGAGCTTGGGGAGAATTCCATTACAAATCAATTAACAGGGAACTCATTTTGTTGGAGACCGACAGAAAGATAAAATTGAGACTTGACAGATTTGCCTTTGATTGTGTGATTATTTTTGAAGCAATCAGCAGATCATTCAGAGCCTGCGTGAGAGCACTTAAAATCCAGAATAATACTATTTTACAGAGAACATAGGCACAGGGGAATGAAAATATTTTCAAGATGCTTATGTAGAGTTGCAGAAGAAATCACATAATGAAGGATCTGAGGCTGTGTCACTAATGAATGTTCATGCAGGAAGGACAGAGATGAGATTGCATATGCAACCTTAGCACTGCCTTCCTGACTTCAACTTTCACCTTCTTGGGAGGGCTCTGAGGAAAGCATTAGTAATATTTCGCATGTTAAAGATTTTTAAGGCTCATCTTCCACCTCAGAAAGCCCAAGGTAGAAGAAGGAAGTGCCTGGTGGCATTTCCAGTGGGGCAGGTTTGTCCCCAGCTCAGCAGGAACTGCAGCACGCGCTGGGTCTGCTCTCCCTGCCCAGTTAGTGACACACACGAGCAGTGACACCTCCTGTGCTGGGACAGGGCTCAGGGGTCAGTGCAGGGCATGCTGTGCACATGCAGAGTGTCAGCTGCATCCCTGCCCTCCCTGCAGACACAACAGCTCTCCTCCCTGCTCTCCTCAGGAGTGGGGACAGGAGGAACAGCAGACACACCTTGGATCCAAACACCACCAGGTGTTTCCTGTTGGACTGCAAGTGCTCAACAGCCAAGTGGGAAACCATTCCCTGGCACTCTGCTGACAGCTTGTCACACGAGGGGAGAGAAACTGGGAGGTTTCAGGGCACAAGTCTGACAATCCCCCAGTCCCCAGCTAAGCTCCATCTCTGGAAGCTGGAGGGGACCTTCAATCACAGCAGTTGCTGCTCTTGCTCCTTTGGGGCAGCTTCCCAAAGTGCCAGTCCCTCCTCCTGCAGCTCCACCTGAGACCCATGTGCCATTTCTTTAACCAGTTCAGCTTTCAAAGAGCATTTGACACCCCCCAACCTCAAACCCTGAATATCCTCTGAGCTTGGGCACCTTGCTGTGTGTTATTGGCTCACTCCACTGCAGCAAAGGAACACAGACATCAATTTGTCTGTCAGTGTTTTTCATTGAGAAGCAGCCATGGATTTATTTATGCATTGTGCCTGCACCAAGTGACATTAATTTCCATCTAAGCTCATCAATTGAAAAATGACTGGGTTCCTTCTCTCATCCACAGTTAGGGTCAATTATCATACACTTATTAAGTGGGTTGTTTATTACAAGATTTAAACTGAAGCTGCATTTTAGGTCTTTAACCTTTTTCTTCCTTAACATTAAAGAATTTTTAAAAAATACGTCTTTCTAATTCAGTGATTTGCTTCTCAGCTCATGAGAGGCCAATTATTTTACAGTAAAGTTATGGTAATTGAAAAAATATTAACATTAATGGAGTTGTTTTGACTGTGCAGATGAGAAAGAAAAGCTTGGGCTGTCAAAGACCCTCCTCCACACAGGCTGGGAGCCACTTCTCACAGAGAACTTCCCTCAGAATGAGTTTCTTCCCTAAGGCTTCCAGAAGAAAGGGCAGCACTGGAAATAATCCAAAGTTCCACATGTACAGTAATTGGCAGCTTTAACACTGAGCAAGGACTACTTTCACTCATTATCCTCTCCTGCTGTCTCTCTGCTGATCCAGATGAGATTCCAACAACATTCCTCACCTAGGCTGGGCTTATTCTGCCACCCTAAGGACAGGAACACCTCCCTGGCCCTGAAAGGACTTGTAACAGCGTGAATGGGATGACAAACCATCACCAGTACCTCCTCCTCCTCTTGGGACTCGTTCAGGGGGCCATTCCGTTTATCCTGGAAGAGGATTTTCTTCATTTTCCGGTACTGCAGGTTGTCCAGCTCCCTCACTGCATCCTTGGTCCTCTGGATCAGGTCTAGGAGCACCCTGGGCGGCCGCTCCCGGCGGACAAAATCGTGCTGGGTTAAAGGAGACAGACAGAACAGCTCACTGCACACTCTGGGGTTCAACTGGCACCATGGGGGACTTGTCAGACCCCTGAAGGGACACCGCCCATTCTTGCAATTTATCTGTTCATATTCAGTAACAGGCAATAGCCTTTCTCAAAGGCTCCACACACACTGAGCTCGTGCTGGGGTCAGGTTTTCTGAGCTCTCCAGGCTACACAGATGACTTGTCCCTCCCTGAGTAGGTACACTCAAAACACACAAGGTGGCACTTCAAACCTTGGAGGCACAGGAATGAACAAAATGCATCCAGAACAAACAAGAATCAACCTGCAAAGATTTATCCTGCACCCATTATTCCAATTCACACATAAAAACAGCAAGGAGACCACAAAGTTTTTTTATACCTAAAGCTTTTGTAGCCAGAGCTGAAATCAAATCAGGCTCTTGCCAACTCCTGCACAGGTTTTAAATGCAGGCTTAATAAATTCTTTAATGGTATTTAGGAACATGATTAAAGCTTCTTCTGTGATTTACCAAATACATTTTCCTGCACTGTACAGCTGGCAGTGGATATAAAAGTCTCCAGCTTTCCCATTTAACCTTGGCTAAAGCAGACAACCTGAGTGAACACTTGCCAACACTTTTATGGGATCCCTACAGCAGGGTGTGCTGCTTCCCAAGGGGGATGGCTTTAGAGCACAAACATCCTCTGCATGCTTGTAGAGAAACAGTGAAAACAGAAAAACTGGCAATGGAAAAAAAAATTGGGTGAAAAAGAGTTGTTCTCTACTGCACATTGCAAATGCCACAAGGGGCTTTGGTTGGAGCCTCAAGAGCTGGACCAAGCTGAAGGAAATTCTCAGGAGGGTCACCTCTGCCTGCTCGGCCTCCCAGCTCTCCTGTGGGCTCGCTCAGGAGTGAACTCATCCCCTGGAGCTGGAGTGAGCAGCTCATGGAGCCCCAGCCCACCCTAGACCAGGAGCCTTCAACAAAAGAGCTGAAAGGATGGGCTAATCATCTTTTAATGATTTGTAAATAAACAAGGAAAGCATCATGCCACAAGCTGATTTCTCATTTTTAATTGAATTCCAACTGTTGTGCATTTGAGTTTTGCTACTGGGGACAGCCAGTCATTTTAGTACCCAATTTTGCTTGTAGTGATGGTGTTTATTTTTGAATCAGAGCTAAAAGTTCTTAACATCATTTCACACAGAAACAAAATGAATCATTTCTGCTCCTCAATGCAGATAACCACCATTTATTTCTCTGTGAACAGTAACAATCTGCAGCTTATTTATGATTAGGAAAAAAAGGAACCCATTTTTATCTCACTGTAGATCATTTTTAGAAAGCAGAAAAGCATTTGGAGCCATGATCCTGAACCTAAATCCATTCTGTGTGTGCACTCAAATATTAAAATGAGACCATGTGAAAAGTGTAGGGCAGACATAAATAAAATATAAATACAAAATATAGAATATACAGGATTTCACACTCAGATCTCAGCTCTAATTGTTTGTACAGACTCCAACCTAAGGTACTCCTGAAATGACATCCTTCAATGAACTCAGCCTGTTCCTAGAGAGCAGCAAGGCTGCCAATCCCCAGCAATGAATCATTCCAAAACTCACAACATAAACCTATTAGCTGGTCAGGGTGCTACAAGTAGAACCAGGGAACAAAACACTGATTATTTGCCACAGCACAAATGTACCACAGGAAATAAAAAAAATACACCAGGTGCCAAAGGGAGCACAAACAGCTCCTTCATCATTTACCTGGAGAGGTCATTGGCAGCCAGAGGGAGAGCAGGGCTAATAATCAACTTTAAAGAAAGGCAATACTTAAAATCCAAAGCCTGATGGGAATGGGGCTGGACAGGATTTCACATCCCCCTACCTTCTAAGGGAAGGCTGCTCCTGAATTTCCCAAAAGCAAAGCCCTTGGAGCTGTAAGCAGTTCCTCTGCTTCCCAGGTAAACTCAACCCAAATGACTTCAGCTGGAGCTGATTCATGATTCACTGACAAACTCTACACACATCACTCAGGTCCCCCTCCTACAGGCTCTTGGCAATTAGGGACCTGTAAAAACCCCTTCCAAAATGATCCAGTTATTTCCAAAACGAGTTTAATTAATTGGGTTCAGCATAGAAACCATTAAAAGGATTTAAACAACTTTTGGGTCTGGTGGTTTCATTAGGGGAGGAAGTCAGCCTTGGCCTATCCCCTTAATGCTATTTTTAACTGCTAAGTGTGATGCATGAATGGAGGGGAAAAGAAAACCAGAAAAAAACAATGAAAGAGTGGATTTTTGTAATGGAAAATACATGTTCACCATGTTTACAATTATTTTGGTAGACAAACAGATTTCCCCCCACATTTCTGGAAAAGATTTGGTAAATTACCCGTAACAAATCTGTTGATGATGGCCTTTCCTGAGGTATTTTCTGTAAGCAGTAATCAACAAATCCCCTAAAGGAGTCTGACCTGCAAAATCAAAAAATGAAAAAAAAAAAATTAAAAATCTAAATTAAAAAAAGAAGCTCAGGATCTGGTATATATTCAAACTTATCAGTGCAAAGCAAAAAAAAAGTGTTGACTGATTTGTTCATAAGTTCTAAGGCAGAAAAAGTAACTGGGTTTTTCCAAATTCTAAGTTGAGCTCATAAATTCTTTCCCAATTTAAGGCTGTTGAAACAACATGGACACACAACTATCCCCAAGCACAAACTGAAAACCAAGTGAGAACTACATCTACCAGTCACTATTTTTGATTTTACTTCAACTGCTTAAAAACCAAGGACAGTGGAATTATTGGGAACTCCAGAAATGCACTCACTGATCTCTGGGAGGTTACAGAGGGAACCCTGCCTCAATGCTCAGTTCAACACTTGAGGCTTCATTTGAGGTTTTATCCCAGCTGGAAAGAAGGAAACTGATTTTTCTGGTGGCACTGGACTCAAAAGGAGCACAAAAGGCACCTTGGTGACTCCAGGAGAGCAAACAGGGCAGAGTAAACAAGAGCTTGCAATCCAGAGCACTGATGTGGTGCTGTGTTTATCCACAGCTGTCTCTGCTCTGCACTGCAAATCCTGCACAGAACGTGGGGACCACACTGCAGGCAGCAGAGCAAGCTCCTGGAACCTTGAAAAATGGGCAAAACAGAGAGGATGAATTAAGGAAACTGGAGTGGTCTTACTACAATGATCAGCAATTAAACAGTTGTGCTGCTCAAACGCCCAGCAGAGAAATGGGGGAACTCCACACCTCCCCAGGAGCTTTTGTTTGAAGCCTTCTGTCAAGCATCACCCAACAGCAACACTCCAATCCTGGGAACTGGGAACCCACAGAACAACAAAGTGTTCTTGTATCCAAGCTCAGACTCTGGAACAAGCCTGGAGCACAGGGAGCATTCACTGGCCACAGAGCTCTGAGGGCTTCTGGAGTCCTCCACTGACAAAAATATCCAATTACCTCCACATGCTCCTCCCTTTCTCCACATTTCAGCTGCACAGCAGTGCTAACAACTCTTCTGCCAACAGGGATCTTTGGGAGCTGGAAACTTTCCTGATGCTCAGCCATAGCTGGTTTAATACATCTGAGAGTATTTTAATTCCTACAGCTACAGCTGTAGCTACACCCCAGAATTAACACCTCCACACTTAGACTGTAGAGAAGCCAGAGTGACAGAAGGTCAGAATTGAGCTAGCATACACAGGATCTGAGAACACACTGCAGCCAACATGTTCATTGTCAGGCTTGAAATGTGCAGTGTCACAGGGCATTTTCAGGGAAATAAACAACAAAAATCAGCTGTTAATGGTTCTCTTACCATTCACTTGATTGTAACCTAGGGGAATCATTCTGGGCTATGTGATATAAGGCACTCATTGCATTCATGTTGAAAAGTGGAGGCTTCCTTTCAGCTGGAAAGAGAAAAGAACAGAAAGGTGTGATAAGGCTGTCTGGAAAGAAAGGAGAAATGCATGGAAGTATGAGCAGGGTATCACTGCTAAATCAACACCCAGTGCTGCTGTCATCACACTTAGGCCAATTATTTTAATATTCCAAGTTAGACCAGCACACCCACTCAAGGAAAGCTGCTGTGCACTTGGAAAGGGATGACAAAATCCAAAGAGTGCAGGATACAAATTATAAGGAAGAGTTTGCAGTAAATTTTACTTTAACTGCAATATCTCACACCTGATCTGCTGTGGCAAAATCAGCTGAAACTGAATAAAACTAATCTTAGGCACAGTTCAGGGCCAGGAAATGCTGTATCAGCCCCCACAGATGTTTGATGCACTGCTGGAACATGTGGATTACAGGAAAAAGTGGCTGCCTGCCTCATTTGTCACTGCAAGTGGGACAGGTTACCAAATTCACTTGCCAGATGTGCCATGAACCCCCTCTCACTGAAATCCTTCCCAGTCCTTGCACCCAGAGGGCACCTGGCCAGCAGCCCCTGACCTCTCAGGAGGGCAGAGCTCACAGTTCTGGGGAAGGCTGGTTCTCCCCAAGGCCAGTGGTGCCAGGATTTCTCAGTTCTTTCAGGCCAGAGCCTTTGCCATGCAGGCAAAGCACCACATCTGCTTTTCCTTAATCACTACTTCAGCTACACCAGGAATTAAGACATCAGCATTCAAAGAAAGCCAAGTGCTGCCCAGCAAGAGATTTCCTCCCACTGCTGCCTGACCTCGTGTTCACACAGGGAATCATGCAAAGTTTAAAAAAGTCTAATGCTTCTCAAAAGGGTATTTTTAAAGAAAGCAAATCCATCATCTTTGAGGTTCCTGAGTAAAAATCTCCACAGAAATGCTGGTACCAAGACTGTGTCTGCACAGTCTCTCCTGCTGCTGTGATTTAGTCCTTGAGAGGCTATGACACACCTGAACTCCACACAAACAAAAATCATTGGCCATGCACAACAACAGAAGCCTAAAACTTCCAACTCTGGCATTCTTTATGTCAAAATACAAACTGTGTCAGCATGCTGGCACATGAAATACAGCCATGTTAGTTAGTGGTTATCTACACCATCTCAGTTCTGGAGACAACATTTCTTCTGCACATCCCCCTCTTTGTTATCTCACACATTTCTGCTGATTAAACATTCACCAATGACACTGTCAGTGAACTCACCCACACAATAAGTTACTGATGTATTGCTGTTAAACAGAATCCGTATCAAGACTGATTTTTGAAAATAATCTACTCAGCACATGCAGTGTCAATATTCAAACTTGAAACACACACTTAGAGTCTGCTCTGTGTACCTGCCATCACATCCACCTCTGCTCCAGGCTCTGGGGATGTGTATCATTTGCCCTCTGAGGTGCAAACCCTTTTCTTCTCTCCCCACAAAGAACGTGTCCACGATGATTCATGGCACAAACTTTTCAGCTGAGATTGAAGATTTTTGTTTCAGAGAGCAGGGAAGTAAGAAGAATTGAAAATTAAATGTATGTCCCTTCTGACACACAACACTTAGGACACCAGTTCCCTTGGCACAACAGCTGGGACAACTTTCTCTGAGTGCAGCTTGGAAAACAGAGATGACAAACCATGGCTTCCTCTCACTCAAGAGCAAAATGCCCTGGCTCTCCAGGGAATAACTGAGCACACCAGACCAACATGAAAGCACAGGGCATTAGTGATCTGCCAGGAGAAAAAGATTTAACTCAGCTGTCAGGGTGCTCCAAGTCAGGCATTTTAAACGGGAGAACTAACGAGGAATAAGGATTGTCCCTTTTTGCAGGAGTTCCTAACACACTGAAGAGTTAATTACCCACCTCAGCTGTGTGCTCACTCACCTAACTCGATGCATGTGATCCCCAGAGACCAAACATCCACCTTCCCATCGTACTGCCCCTCGTCCATTGCAAGGATCACCTCTGGTGCCATCCTGCCAAGCACAGAGCAAAGGCTGTCAGGGGACACACAGGGACACTCCAGACACACCAGCTGAGCTGGCTCCATCCCCTTGAGCAGAGCCACAGAGCAGGACAGACAGCAGGGAGCTGAGGAACAGTGTGCTGGAATGAACAAGCACTGACCACAGCAGCCACTTGTCACAGGAGAGGGGAGAAGCAAAAGAGGAAAGGGGGGAGAAAAAAGAGGAAGGGGGGGAAGTGAAAGAGGAAAGAGGGGAGAAAAGAACAGGAAAGGGGGAAAGGGGAGAAAAAAGAGGAAAGGGGGGAGAAAAGAAGGGGAAAAGGGGGAGAGAAAAGAAGGGGGGAAAAGGGGAGAGAAAAGAATTAACCCAATCATCTTCCTGTTAGCAGAATGCACTGGCACATGGGAGACCCCCCTATTTCCAAAGGCATTGCAGCTGCAGGCTGACAGCAAGGGCTGGGAGAGCCCTAGAGGCACCCCTGGCACCCTCCCCCAGGCTGCCCCTTGGCACACCAGGAGCATTTCCAGCAGACAAATGCAGCCTGTGGGTGCAGCTGTGAATGGAACAGGGAAACTGGGAACAGTGGTGGTCCAGGATAAAGGGATGAAGTGGGGACAGAGAAGCAGCAGGCCCAGTCTGCAGAAATTCAGCCTCTTAAATTGTGTTCTTCCAAAAAAAGGCTTCCTGCCAAACGGCCTCATTCCAAGGCTGGGCCATGGTGACCTCCCAGCACTGCCTGGGGCCTCTGCCACAAAATCAGTGGAGCGTGGAGCTGTGCTGGTCCTCAGTGCTGGGAATGCCAAGGAACTCAGGTGACCCTTCAGCAATTCCTTCAAAACAGGATTGAAGTAGCTGTGTGACTTCCAGTCCGATGACAGGATCCCCTTTCTCCATGAATGCCTCAGTCCCATCACTGTGGTACGTGTGAGGTATTTTTAAGCCAATGGCACTGCAAGAGTGCAGCCATCTCCAAGCACTGCACAGCCTGAGGAAGGACAGACTTCCTGAAGACCTGGGCACAGGGATGTCAGGAAAACTCCTTGGCCAATGAAGATTTTATCCAGGTATTGTTACTGCATTGTGAAGCACTGGAAAGGGAAGAGAGCAGTTCTATAAAGGACTAAAGCACTGCAGGCTTCACTCACCAGTAAGGTGTTCCCACAAAAGAGTTGGCAGGGGAGACTATAGATGCAGACCCAAAATCAGCGAGTTTCACTTGACCTGGTTCTGTTAGAAGAATATTTCCGGCTTTAATATCCCTTTAACAGAGGAAAAAAAAAAAGAAGAAAAAGAAGTAATTCAGCATGATGCAAACTCTGGTGAGATGCCTTTGTCTGCGATTTGTAACGCTGGGGCAAAGACACAGAAAGGAATTCACTGACAGTGTTTCACAGCAAGCCTAGAGTAACCTCCACTCCCCCATCCCCTGGGCAGCACTGCTTCAAAAGTAATACTATGGAATATTTCATCCACAAGTGCTACACCCTGACACTTCTGCTGCAGGACAAGTGCTGAAGTCTTGTGTGTGCAAGAATGAACACCTCAAAAGTACAAAAGAGACAGCACAGGCTGTCCCCTTTGCTGTCACCTCCCCTGTCCAACAGCCAAAGGGATGGAGCACCTCTCCCACAAGAAAAGGCTGAGAGAACTGGAATTGTTCAGCCTGGAAAAAAGAAGGCTTCAGGGTGACCTAATTGTGGCCTTCCAGCACCTGAAGGGAGCCTACAAGATGGAGAGGGATTTATTTCCTATTTACAAGGGATGGAGGAACAGGACCCAAGGAATGGCTTCCCACTGACAGAGAGCAGGTTAGATGGGAAATTAGGAAGGAATTCTTCCCTGTAAGGGCACAGGTTGTCCAGAGAAGCTGTGGCTGCCCCTGGATCCCTGGAAGTCTCCAAGGCCAGGCTGGACAGCGCTTGGAGCCACCAGGGACAGTGGAAGGTGTCCCTGCCCATGGCAGGGGCGGCACTGGATGAACTTTAAAGCCCCTTCCAAACCAAACCATGCTGTGATTCTACACCACGGCTCAACAGCCACATCAGCTATCAGCAACCTATCTGCCAGCCTTGTGCCTGCAATTAAATAATTTTAAAAAAACAAAGAATTCCCTCTTTATCCAGCCCCGGCGCCACGCGCGATCGGCCGCGCGGGGGCTGCAGTGCCGCTCCCTCGCCACCAGGTGGCGCCCCCGCGCCAGGTCCCCGCGCGGGGCCGGACCCGCGGGACCGCCCCAAAAACCGCGTCCCCAGCCCCAAAAACCGCGTCCCCAGCCCCAAAAACCGCGTCCCCAGCCCCAAAAACCGCGTCCCCAGCCCCCAAATTCTGCCCCTTCTCCCTGAGCCTCGCCGTTCCCACTGGCAGAGGAAGTTCTCGCCGGGGCTGTGCGCTGCAGCAGGGCGCTGCTCCCCGCCCAGGCAGGGCTCACACTCCCTCCCGCCTGTCCCTTTCTGCCGCAGCTGCCACCAAAGCAGGGACGTGTCGCTGCTCCTCATTTCTGGGTGTGCAGATTGGCCTCCCCACCTCAGCAGGGAAAAGCTGGAATACCCTCTGGATGAAATCCAGGTCACAGAAGCACAGGATAGCTGGGGTTGGAAGGGACCTCTGGAGATCACCCAGTGCAAACCCCTGGAGCAGGTGACACAGGAACGTGGCCAGGTGGGACTGGAATGTCACCAGAGAGGGAAAATCCACACCCTCCCCGGGCAGCTGTTCCAGGGCTCTGCCACCTTCCATGGAAAAGTGCTTGGATTTCTCCTCAGGTAGTTTTATCCTTGACTTACACTTGCATCACCTAATTGTGATTCCATCACACCTCCGTGGCCTCCCTGCTACCAAAAACCAGACTGTGCAAAACCAATACAGTTTTACTCATTCACATGTAAATATGAAAAAATATCTACTCTTAGAAATATTCTAGCTCAGTGAGCTTCTATTTATTTGGCACATTTAGGGTGATATTCTTCTACTAGTGTTCAGTGCAATATTCCTGTGTAGCCTTTCTTACCAGGGCCTGCACTGAACAATTGCCAACAAGGCAGAGAAAATGTTGGTAGAATAACTTTTTCCAAGGTTGGTAGAATAAGTTTCCAAGCAGCTTTGAGACTCCAGGGAGCAGCAGATGGAAGGGCAGCAGCTCCAGCCTCACCTGTGGATCCTACAGTGGGAGTGCAGGTAGGCCAGCCCCTGCAAGGCACCGTGGGTGATGGCAGCAATCTCCACCTCCTGGAGTGGCTTCTTGTGAACTATGGGGGGAAAAAATCAAGAAAATAAAACAAATCAGAAGAAATAAATGGGATATTTTCCTGAGAAAGTGTTTTTTAAAGAAAGGAATCCCACCAATCTGCTACTAAGAGAAATTAGGGAGGAATTCTGCCTTGAGAGGGTTTTAAGGTCCCTCCAAACCCAAACTGTGATCTTGTGATCTTGGCCCCCAAGGAACACTGATTTTTGTAAACTTTGGCTTTGATTCCCTATTTTGACTTAGATTCCCCTATTTCTTTGCAGGTGCTGTTCCACTGTTGAGGTGACATCAACCTCCTCTTCCAAAACCCATCTGTAATTATTCCTGCACACTGCAAGGCAAGGACAAAGGTGATCTCTGCAGGATTTTATTATGGATATTCCAAAACCTAAAGAGGCAGCCTAAAGAGGCACAGATTACAGGAACATACCTGTACACTTTTACACCTTCATTTGACAAAATTAAAATGTGCATGCCAACTATCTGTAGCACTGGGAAAGCCTCCAATTGCTCCTAGAGAATGGAGCAGGACAACAGAGCACCTGTAATATCTGCAAAACTCCACTCCACTCCCATCAAATTCAGCTGGGGGGTACTTGCAAAAAGAAAATCCAAGATATACCAAACTTACCTTCTAACAAATCAGAAGCTGATCCTAAACAGTACTCCATAACCAACTGCAAAAAAAAGAGAACATCACGCCTTCAAGTATCTCTGGAATCACTTTGAAATTAGGAAACATCTTTACATTCCAAATTTAAATCACATGGTGGCTTTAACGCCCTGATTAAGGAAAAAAAAATGTAAGTAGTAGGTTTTGTTAGCTTTCCATCAGAAGATGCACAATTTGACTTTATTGTAGTACTGTTCAGCACAACCCCAAAGCCATTTCAGAGCCTGTGCTGAGGATTTGAGTGCTGCAGTGTGCATTTGCTCCACATGCCCCTCACTCACCCACGCCGTGTGCTCCTTCAGGTAACAGCCCTTGTACTCTATGGTGTTGGGGTGCTTCAGCTGCTGGAGAAACTTGACTTCTTTGATGATATCCTGCCATTTCTAATGAAAAAATAAAGCAAAAAGTATAAATACATTTCTCTTCTTAATCCTCTACACCCATTCATGCACACTGGAGGACAGTCTGAAAAGGGACCATAAAACTATTTTACAATATGAAGATGGAAAGTCAGTGTTGCAAAAGGACAGCTGTAAATCAGTTGTCTGGGTCCTTCCTGCACTGAGATACCCCCAAGATATATTTAATAGCTTGAGGACTGCCAAAATAATTTTCTTCCTCATTTTAACTGCAATACATTTCACTTAAATGCTGCTGCTTTGCAAACTGAAATGTTCAGTGGCTCAAAATTAGTAAGAAATTACAGAGAGTAGCAGTGAGCTGCTCACCTTCTGTAACACAGCACAGAACCACTGACATTTGGGAGAAAAAGCAAGGAAAAATGAGTTTAAACCACCCCTGTTTGCTCTTAACAAACAAACACACCCTGTACATCCACACACCAGTCCAAAGGATCAGTGGGTCCAAGTTCCGCACAAAAATAAGAGGAACCATTAACACACAACAACTGAAATGAGACTGAGATTAGCAGCTCTTGGCAATTTGATAGATTCTAAAGAATTTCAGAGGGATGTGCTCCAGTGGCCAGTGTGCTCTTACCACACTTCTTAAGAAAATTATTTCTGACACAAGCCCCATCCAGGCATTCTGAATCCCCACTGGCTTCCTTCAACCGAACTATTTCCCAAAATTTGCATAAACTCATTTTCTCTCTGCAAACCTCCACGATTCCCATGGAAGGGAGCAGCAGTTCCTGCATTAAAAGCTGTTCTGTTGGGGTCAAATCAGAGCTGCAGCTCATTCCACTGCTCACATTTCCACTGGAGCTGCCACAGCTCCTGAATGCACAATTGCCTTTTTTCCTCTCACCTCATTTGTTTGCTTTCCACTGTAGGACATCTTCTTGACTGCCACCACCTCATTAGTGTGGGAATTCGTAGCCTGGAGTAGGGAAAGAGAAACATTGAAAAAAGTAAGAAACAAATTGAAAAAAAGCTTCATTTTCCCCCTCTCCCCGTGGAGTGAGCTGTGCCTGTGGCAAATGCAGGCTTTTTTCTCCTATATCCTTGCAAGCTGCTGCACCTCAGAGACATCCTTCTCAGGATATGATTTACCACACAACTGTTAGGACACTTTTCCCTGATTTTATCTGGCCATATCCACTGTTCCTTCCTCAGACTTTGTGCTACTTCTCTACTGATATGTAAAAGGCCCAATATGCACCTACTGAGAAGCCTCAAAATACAGTTTTATTGGAATTACAGTAGAAACAGTTTCAGATGAACCTTCGGCAAAAATGTTTGCCAAAGAAACAAATAAAGAGGTGTATCAAAATCTCCATGATTTCATCCAAAAACTCCATACAACACTGACATTCTTAAATAGCTATTTCAATTTCCAGCTTCAAGAAGATGATTCAACCTGGAATTTGTCTAAATTAAAAAACTTTCCTTTCACTGCACTAGACCTTAGTTTTGTGATGAAGATTATGCAGCCATTAAAATTCTACTTTTCTGCAGCCTGAATGATGCAGGGATGGTAATTAGATGCTAAAAACCCAGGTTTGGAAAGATCTCTCCTTGCTTGGACTGGCACTGCCCTCATTTCTGCTTGTTAAGGGTAAAAAAAAGTCAAGCTTTTGGTCTTAAAACAGTTGCTGAAATCTCTGTACCTCCAACCATTTTTGGGACCAAAAAAATTAGTGACAGTTAAAAGCTTCAACTATAATAGGAGCTAAATGTGGTAAATCCTCCTTTCAAGTGATGTATTAACTAATGACATTTTTTGAGGCATGTGGGGACTTCAAAGAAAAACTGTGTTGAGTGAAGCAGAGGGGCACAGGAATTACTGAAGGGAGGTGACACAGGCCTCTCACAGCTCACACTCCTCAAACGAGGCAGAGAAAGCTGAAAATGAGTAACTCTGGGACAAGGCAAAGCCCTTCCCCACACTTGTCACCCTGATTCAGCACAGAGAAGATCAAGAGTGTTTTACTCAGATGTGTTTATGCTTTCTTTCTGCCTGTCCCATGAATTCCAAGCAGCTCCACCGTGCTGTCTGTCCTTTCAGCTGGGATTTGTCACTGAAGGACACACTGCCACCTTCCCAGAGCTGGGAGGGAAGTTCTGGCTGCACCAAGAGCTTGGGATGCTCCTGGCTGAGACAACTCCCGGGGTTCTGTGAGCACACCTGGGGAACAGCCATGTGCTGAAGCAGTTTTGGGCCTGCTTGAGATGATACCTTGAGAAATTATATTGTTATCCCTGAAAATACACATGAAATACTTAAAGATCCTCTCCTTACAACAGTTCCACCAACACCTCCATCACTTCACACAACTCCGAACTCCAGTAAATTGGAATGCTTAAAATAACTTATATTAGCTTATAAAATAAATGTGTCAGGGATCTTATCTTAATACTTTACTGTCTGATATTTAGAAACCCAGCTCCAGTGAACCTGATCCTCCTGAGTGGCTGACCATGGTTCCAAGCAGCTTTCATTTGGCTTTAACTGATTTTTTAAATATGGATTTTACTTCAGTCTCCCTAATGCCAACTGGATTGTAATTCTTTCCAATTCCAGTATTCTGGATTTGGCTTTGTTTGATACCAACTGTAAAAGCACCATTTTTCTCACTTCCAGATTAAATTCTCTTGCCTGTATCAATGAGTGCCATACATCCTTCCTGTCTGAATTCCCATTCCTCTAAGGACTCTCTCTTTGCTTTTGCCATAAAGGAAATTGTAGAGATTTCCAAACATAAGAGCTCCACGTATCTTGAAATTTCAGTTTTGTAAATTAATTTTCAGCTGTTTAAATTCAACTTTCAGCATAAAAACATAAAATACTTGACCCGGACAGCTGGGTGCACTGTTAAGACTATAGTAAACTGCTACTATAAATGTGTGGCATTCACATTCTCTGAAAAAATCCCTTCACCCAGGATTCTTCTCCTGGGAAGCTGAGAAGCCTCAGAGAAAAGGAAAACAATTCTTATCTCATTTGCTTCTCCTGTGTTGTGCTCCCATGTGGAATGTGTTTGGGGATTGTTTACCCACAGGTGATTGTTTCATTGGATTCTGCTGTGAGGTGTTTTGGCTCTTCAGCCAATCAGTGCCAACTGTGTCACGACTCTGGAAGGAGTCATGAGTTTTATTATTATCTTTTTAGCATTCAGTAAGTATCCTTTCTGTATTCTTTAGTATAGAATAGTATTCTTTAATATAATAGAGTATCATAAAGTAATAAATTAGCCTTCTGAGAACATGGAGTCAGATGCATCATTCCTCCCTGACACGGGGATCCCTGCAAATACAATATAAATACAGCTGGAACATTCAAGAGATCAGGAGTGGTTTGGAAACACTTCTTTTTGAGATGTGTTGTCACAAAACTAATGCACACAAAGCACTAAAAGCTCAAGGAACATCTCCTTCTACAAATGCTCAAAAGCCTCTAAAACATCACTTGAAATTATTCCGTTCTCCAAAAAAAGAACCAACTCTACTTACAAAGTAAACTGCTCCAAAGCTTCCATGTCCAATTTCATGCAAACCCACGAATATTTCCTCAGGATCATCTTTGTAGAACAGGTCAGCTATCTCTGGGTCCTTTGGCACCCCTTTGCGCATGGTGAAGCGTGTCAGGAACTGCTCTGTGCTCTCAGGTCCCAGCCAACTGCTCCCCTCATCGACAAAGCCGTGTGCAGACAGCTCTCAGCACCTGCTGGGAAAGTTCATCTTTCATCTGCTTCCCCTGCACGTGCTGCTGTTCACACTTCTCTGACTGCAACACCAGAGGAAACACTTCCAGCAGCAATAGACTTCACCATTGCTTCCTCCTCCAGCCAATTCTTTTCAATTATTAGTCCTATTTAGATTGAGAGATTAAAATGCATTCAGGATACAACAGCTCTTTATCTCACACAGGAAGCAAGTGCTGCAGTGACACTGAAGTCCACTTGAATTCAAGAGTCCTGTTGCTATGCAAAACATCCTGTGACAGGAGTTTGTTATTCTTCACGCCAGGCTCCCAGTGTGTCAGTTTTTAGACTCTCTCTGTTGTTCCTCCTACTTTCCTGGGCTGTTTGCTTTGTTTCTCTACTCCCAGTTGCCAGCTGGTGGAAAAGTCAGCTGCTATTCCACAGCAACACTTTGCAGCCTTGTAATTGTTATTTCTCATTTATTTACTCAGAGCTGCATGACAGCCAGTGCTGCTGGATTGTGATTGCTCCCAGCACATGGAATTGCTTTTGAAGAATCCTAAATTCCATTCTATAGGGCGCATCTTTGCCTCCTTAAATTCTTCCTTAGCACAGAACTGAGCTTTACCTAAATGAAGACTTTCAGTATTCATCCCCAAAATTTTATTTGTGTGGGAAGGAAAACAGAAAGAAGAAACATCCTAATATCAGGAAGTTTTCCAATTCTTAACAAAACATCTTGAAAAACCTGCGTTGCCTTATTAAATATTCATATTCAAAGCACTGATGGGGGCCTTACTCATCTGCTTTTGGCTTGTGACATGCAGCAGAGGAGCTGCAGCTGAGTCACTTGGAGCAGTTTCCATCAGGCTGGAGGTACTTTCACACCTGTGGTTCAGCACCTCCTTTACTGAGGCCACATCTTATGTGTGCACATCAAACTCCTGCAAACACACAGCACGCCCACACCATGATACACACCAGGGCAACATTTAATGGGAGACCAGCTGAAATGTAATAATCAGACACATTTTAAACTAAAACACACAGAGAAAAGGCTTTAGAAGGTGTTGGACTTCAAGTGCCATTTGGATGAAAGCAGAATTGTGGCCTGGTGCTGAGACAGCCTCCCTGGCTGAGGGTCAGTGATGGAGCAAGGAGGAGAGGGGCAGTGAGAGGAGCCCACCTGGACAGCTGTGGCACCAACCATGCTCCGTGCCTCACATTCCTTCCAGCAGCATTGTCCCGTGCTCCCAGCCCTCCAGACTCTCCTACTCTGCAAAGAAAAACAAGGAACTGGATTTAGAAAGATGATTTTTAAGTTTTTACACCTTATTCTAACACACAAAACCACTACATCCAGTAAAGGCCAGTGACCACGGGGGAAGCACAAGGAGAACTGGCTGAGAATGCTAATGGGCTGTCTTTAGGTGAGGATAAACAGTTCTGTGCTCCAAAGCCCTTGGACTATATATCACTGGAGGACAGAAAACCAGGAAAAGAGGTTAAATGCCAAGTTCTTTGGCTTTCATGAAGATTCTTAAGCTTGCTAGGGCACAGGAAGCTCCCTCTCAGACCCTGCTCTTTAGATCATCTATAAAAAGGACAAAGCTCAGAAAAAAATCCCCATCCCTGGAAGTGTCCACGGGCAGGCTGGACAGGGCTTGGAGCACCCTGGGACAGTGGAAGGTGTCCCTGCCCGTGGCAGAGGATGGCCCTGGATGGGCTTTAAGATCCCTTCCCAAACCATTCCATGATTCTGTCAGAAGCTGACAAGGCTGTGTCCATTACTGGACTCTCTGTGTTCTGCCTGATGGCACACAAGATTCCAGGGAAAGCCCTGGGCACCGGGAAGTCAAACACTGCTGAATTCCACCAGGGAGAGGATGAGCAGTGAGAAGATGGAAAAGGAGTGCCAGCCATGAGCCCCATCAGCTGCAATCAGGTCACAGTGAGAGATGTCCCCACTGCAGCCACCCACTCCCATGGGTGCAGGGACACCCCAAAGAGCCACTGCTGTCCCCTCAGGGGAGTGGGACACAGGGAGAGCTGGGAATAGCCTGAACTCATGGAAAATGGTATCCTGCAGCTACATGCACAGCAGAAATGCTTCCAAGTTAAGCACAGTGAAATAGTTACATTGCCAAAATCTGAATTAATAGGCACCTGATTTAATGACACACTAACTCATGCTCTCCTTTATTAGGGAAAAAATAAATGAGCAGAAATCTTTCTGTTAATAGCTAACATTACCAAAAACGTTATTTTTGTTACTTTATCTCACCACAGACCAATAGTATCAAGCTGTTAAAAGGCTATTTGAAGAGCACCAAAAAAAGGCTCTGCGCTGTTTTGCTTTTAAAAAAAAAATCAAGTATAAACAAAAGCCAGATGAATGAAATTATTATTCATTTTCAGCTGATTGGCCTCACCCAAAGGTGCTATATTTACTACAGCTCTGCAGACAGGGCAAAGAATGCAGTATTTCAGGTCTGGCATTCTTCAGCCAACAGAAAAATCCATCTGGCTTTAAAAAAATAAAAACAAACTGATGGAGAAAACAGTTTATCCATCTCCAGTCAAACGAACCTCTCTGCCATTAAGAAAGGTTGTGCAGCTCCAGTATTCAAGGTATTTAAAATGGGAGGCTAAATGTCAATACTTAGAGTTAAGCCCTAAGTAATAATGTCATTTTTCAATTAGGGCAGACACGAGTAGTGAGGCAAGTAAATCTTCCTGGTAAGTCTGCTCAGCAGGGCTATTATTTCCCAGTAATGAAAATAAAAAAAACTTAGGATGGAAAGTGAATCAACAGCAACCTGAGTTGTGCTGATTGAACATGAGCACAGAGCGATGCACAGGATGCCACAAACCCTGAGAGCCCTCTGCAGACACCACCACAGCACCAGAGCCACAGTTTGGGTCCTGGACAGTGTAAAACACCACAGATACACATCACAGCTCTTCCATTGAGGCTGGCAAGGTCACAAATCCTTAACAACCCAACTCTCATCTAGATATGGAGACTGCAATAAAAATGGTTTAAATCAAGACAGGGCACTGTAAGAGTTGAGTGCCATTAGTAGAAAAAACTTAAGTTGAAGTCATGGTCAATTTGAGCAGGACCTTTTCATCACCAAAGTGCTGAATTAATACACCAAGAAACAGTTTCTGTTAGAAGCCTGATCTCTGCTTTTCATCCTTGAGACCCTGCACGTCCTGAAGACCTCAAAAGGAAAGATCATTAATCACACTGGCAGTGACTTAGGGGAGTGACAAGTAACTCTGGATTTTGAGGGTTTGGGAGATTGGCATTCTATTCAGATAGAATAGTCAATGCTAAGCAACCCTCCCATTTAAAAACCACGAATTAACTACTTTTGCTACACAAAGGTTCTCTCCTACCACTTAAAACTTCCAGGAGCTGTATTAATACCAACAAAAGCCACCTTGACTTGAATATAAGAACAAAACACAACTGGAAGCACCTTTAAGAGGAGCTAAACTGACATTTCCAAATAATCCATGGATCCAAAATTAAGTCAGTCAATGAGATAAACTTGAGAACTCAGAGTGTGTGGCTTGTGAAAACCCAGCTTGAATTGCATCTCAGAGCACCACAGGGCTGTTTCAAATGTGCCCAGAAACTCACAAAATTAATTTTAGTTCCTAACTACACCAGGGTACTTCCCAAAACAAGGACAAAGTTTTCCACTCCATGCAGAAAAACAAACTACAGGAAACAGGGTGGACCAGCAGCAGATTCCACTCAGAGGAGGAGCAACATGACATGGCTCATGCACCCATTTTTAGATGCCTATTTTGAGGGGAATAAATTCACACCAGAATTATTTTCCCAAGAATGGTAAGCACAGAGCCCCATTTCATCACTTCAGTCTCTCCAAAACCTGGAACACAATGTAAAGAAGGAAATTCTGAGACAAATTCAGCTGATAACTGTTCTGAGTAAGAAAGTGCCCTTTTGAGCTTGAAGTAAGGAAGGTGCTCAAGTTCCCCTGCAGTCCCCACCCACAAACTGACATGGTTTTGTTGGTTTGATTTGGGCAGGTTTTGTGTTGTTTTTAAGAAACTGGAGCTCTTCCCCTTCCCTTTAATTGGTACATATGGCTGGCTGGCCAGCCAAGCACAAACACTTCATCCTGGGCTGATTCCCTCACATGAAGACCACAGCCTTGGATGAACAGCCCATTATTTCAGAGACGCTTTTTGGAGAACACTCTGGAACCTCCATGTTTTAGCTGTTCAGTGTCATTCCTCTGATTGTTAAGAATTGCTTTCCCAGATAACTTGATGTAAATGAACACAACATATGTGTTTTTTCCAGGCACTTTACCCATTTCAATGCTTAAACCAGTGAGATTCACATACCTGGCACAGAAACTATGAACAGGGCATACAAAAAGCATCTCCACTACAGCCTTTGTTTGCTTAAATTAATCACCAATTCCAAGACACTCAGGAAAGATTTCGTTCTGGTTTAGAAGCAGCAAGTCCTCTCACGTCCTTCCCTCAGATTTCTCTGAAGCAAAATGATTCACTGAGGATGGAACTGGAACAGAAGGTACCCAGTGACCTTCAGCAGGAAGGACAAATATTCCTGAGCATTTGGGACTCTGCAGGTATCAGGGCAGCGTCCCTGAGGGCACACAGCACGAGGAGCAGGCTCAGGACACGGGGACACAGTGTGCCAGGAAAGCTGGACAGCCTGACCAGAACCACAGCAGTGGTACCAGCAGCAGCTCCTCAAACACCACCCCTACTGCTGGCTTTTCCAAGGAATAACTCCCCAGAACACCCAAGTCAATGCCACCCCCATTCCTATAAACATCTGGGTGCAGCCACAGCTGTTCACCACCTCCAGCTTCTGAGCAGAAGTGCAGGAATTTCCCTTTGGAGTGTTTGCTCTGCAGCGCACCTGGAATTCCATCCCAGTGCTGTGCTCGGGGGTCAGGGCAGCCCAGAGCTCGTGTGTGCATCAGGTCATGAGGAGTTCACACATTACTCATGCTAATAAAACCCTGAATCACAACTGGTCTGACCCAGGCCACTGCTGCACGCTGCCCCTGGGGTATGAAATCCAGCTAATAACTTGCAGGGCTTGTTGTAGATAAATACCTTCACAAAAACAGCTTTATTTCCTGATGAGGAGCAGTAGTTTTAAAGGAAACATTCAATTTATAATTCCCCTATCATCATTATTCATGCAGCAAAAGACAATAAACTCATTAAAATATTAAAATAAGACAACCATATTAAAAAAAAAAATTAAAAATAAAATCAGTGGGCCTGAAGTCAAGAAACAATCAGTTTTAGTCATCGGGAATGTTTCAACAAGTATGAAATCAAGCCACAGGCCAGCCCTCCCCAAAGGAATAGTCCCAGTTGTGCTCTGAAATTCCACTGCTTTGCTAAATACGTATAATCACAGCTACCCCAAATCATGGGCTACAGCCTGGGCTTCAGTTTAAAAGTCAAACAGCATCATTCTCACAATAGACATGTAATGAAAAGGCAAGAGGCACTGGGTGTAGCTTCCCAATAGTTTTCCTGTTGAATTCAAAACAATTTAATGAAATATGTATGCCCTTGTTAAGTTTAAGGGTAATTAGCGTGGCTTGGATTAGAACCTGTATTTTACCATAAAATCTAGAGAGCACTGTTAGAGTTTCTCAGGTTTATTTAACAAGATTAAACACTTTCAGTCATTAAATAAACCTTGCCTAATTAAAAATAAAGGGAAGAAAAAAGGGTTTCTGCTCCCAGCAACAACATTTCATAATATTTCATCATGGCACACTTGAAATAATTCATCAGTACATCTGGAAGGGAGGAAAGATCTGGGAATCATTTTAAACCCTAACATACATAAGTCCAAGTAGCATCATACACAGAAATACAAATTTCATCAGATCTTCTCACCAAAACATCTCTAAAAAGCATCACAGATGGGTCATGAAATTGAGAAAATTGCCTCCTATTTTCATCATCTTTTTCTTCTCTTTAATGTTTTTATCAGGCTCTTCATCATGTTGCTTAAAACTCCAGACCATTATAAATTGATGAGCATTATGCTGTGTGTGCTACTCAGAGGCACAAATAAGTCATCGGATTTGTTTGTGGAAGCCTCAAGAGACACCAGCACACTCAGAGTTTCCTACCTATTAATGTAATGGCTTCCAAAGAGCTGGATCCATTTTGTGGTTTAAAGCTATTTTTAGGTGCTTTTTAAAAAGAGTTTATATTATGCACCATCAC